AGTCCTTTGGACTAATCTTTTCCTTGTATCCTGTTCTCTTCATTCTCCCTTGTTCCCGAAGGGGTGAGACCAGTGGAGTATCTTAGATGGCTGCTCAAAGGCTTTTAAGACCCCAGACTCTACTCACCAAGGTAGAACGTAGAACATTGTCTTTATAAACTGTGTTATGCCAGTTGAGCTAGCTGTTCCCCGAGACCATGGCTGGACCCACTTTTAAAAGGCTCATCTGATTAAGTCAGACCCACCCTTTTGATTAGGGACTTCAATTACTTTTGCAAAATCCTTCCCACTTGTCATATTCTTTTGGTTAGAAGCAAGTCACAGGGTCTGCCCACACTCGAGGGGATTTTGCAAAGGTGTGGATACCAGAGAGCAGGAATCATGAGGGCCACTTTAGAATTCTGCCTACTACAAGTAATAATAATGATAATATCCTAGTATGGAGCATGGTTTTTACACTATTTAAAGCTTTAGCTATTGAGATGCTTCTTAAAATTAATGGCATCAATTGCTGTCAGCCAGGCGGCATTTGTGACATGAGCTTACTCAGTAGAAACCTCTTCTAGTTTTGCCTCATTTCCATGGATCCATCACATTCTGGTCCATCCCCGGTAGGAGTCAAGAACCATATATTGTCTGTTTAATTTCATGATACTCCTCCGCTGGAATCGGAAACTATACCAGTAATGAAATACATGTGTGAAGTCACAGATTTTAGGAGCTTCACCACAATTCTGAGTTTCAACAAGCATAGGTAATAGAATGCACTGTTCAAAACAATTTTCTTCATGACAACTTGAAGGCTGCACATTTCTGCTTGGTTTCATGTACTGCCCATGGTGATAGACTGTTCCAGGTGATTGATGTGTCCTTCTCTCTCAGGCAACCAAAGTAATCCTGGCCTTCCATCGTGCTGAGGAGGCTGCCTTCACCAGTGGGGAGCAAGAGCTGTTTGTCCAGTTCTGCACTGTCTTCCTGGAAGACCTCATTCCTTACTTAAATCGCTGTCTCCAAGTGCTTTTCCCACCAGCTCAGATCGCACAAACTTTAGGTAAGAGAAAGGAGAAAGGCTTTTTAAAACTGCTTTATTGAGATATAATTCACATACTAAGTAATCACCTGTTTTAAGTGTCCAATTCAGTTTTTTTTTCTTTTAGTAAATGTGCAGAAGTGTGTGGCCATTGTTGCAATTGTAGAACATGTCCATCACCCAAAAATATCCCTCATGCCCATTTGAAGACATTCCCCATTGCCATCCTCAGCACCAAGCAAGCAATACTCTACTTTCTATCTTTAGAGATTTGCCTTTTCTGGACATTTCATATCAGTAAAAGGATACAATATGTGGTCTTTTTTTTCTGGCTAAGTGGAAGAAGCCGGTCACAGAAGACTACATATTGAATGATTTCATTTACATGAGATATCCAGAGAAGGGAGTTTTAACCTATTTTTCCTGATTTGTCTTGACTTCCCTGTGCCCACTCCACAGCCTGTGGAGGGAGTGGGGAAGTGGGGGAATGCACAGCTTCCCAAATGGCGGTGGGTCCATGATCACATTAACAAAGGGTGGCTGCTCTCTGCTTTCCCCTCAGCTTTTCCCCTGGGGTCTGTTACTGAGAGGCTAACTGCTTAGTGAGGTTGTCTTAGCTCTTATTTGATCTGCCCTGTACTGTGCTGCTCCAGATTACTTCCATAGTCTCCCTTTACAGTACAGCTGCCTGTTCTGTATCACAAAGATGACTTTTGCTGGATGAAATAAAGTAATTGTTACTGCCTGTCTTTTTTTCCTGTGACATCTGTATTGAATTTTATTAATATATATATTTTTTCATTTCATTTTCCCTTCCATCTGTCCCAGGCATTCCACCCACTCAGCTCGCCAAGTACGGCAACCTTGGGCATGTGAACATCAGTGTCATCCAGAAACCTCTCGCCTTTATCCTGCCAAAGAGAGAGAGGGTCTTCTGTCTAGATGAAAAGGAAGTAGTGCCTGAACTCACAGCTGCAGCCCCAGAAATTCCGGTGGAAGAGCCAAGCCCGGAATCTCCTGAGTGTGGGCCAGTTTCTCTCGAGAGTGGGTTAGAGGAGGCTGAGTCAGAGCTGCAGCAGGGGGAGCCGCTGCCGGAGGAGCTATTGCAGGGGGAGGCATTGTAGGCGGATCTACCTAGTGTGAGGACTTAAGATACGTTCCCCACTCCTAGAACTGGGCCCAGTACCTAGTGCCTGGGCGGCCAGGGGCTCTGTATGTGGTCTCTGGTGGAAAGGAGTTGGTGGCCGTTTTGAGGTAGGGAAACCTCGCCTAGGAATGCACAGGACGGGAGAGGACTGTTTCCGCTGGTAATCAAGAGAGGAAAATTAAAGGGGGAGCGTCCTGGTTATAAATGGCATATAAATGATTACAACTAAAAAATGAAATAATAAAGCTGACTGATTGTCACCGAGTGGCAATATGTTCTGGTTGAGGGCCAGCCCGCCACCCTCTGGGCGGGGCCTGGAACTTGCCGGAAGGTGCGAGGATACTAGGTTTCCCGGCGTCCCTGCCGGCGGAAGCGATCGGCCGAGGACAGAGGAGGGAGGTCTAGGTCGCCGGGTTCCTACTAGCTATGAGCCGGCTGTGGGGCGGCCTGCTGCTGGGGACGCCGCGGGCGTGTCGCGGAGTGCTGCTGGCCCTGCCGTGGGGAATGTGCGCGGGGGCCATTGCCACCCAGGCCTGCAGCTCCACACCCGCCCCGCACGGCCTCGAGGGCCCGGCGCGCGCGCGCTCCTACTGGCGCTATGTGAGGCGGCTGATGTGGGGTGCCCCGAAGCAGCCCTACGCGCACGTGTGCCAAGTTGGGGACCCGGTCCTGCGCACTGTGGCCGCCCCGGTGGAGCCGGCGCAGCTAGCGGGGCCCGAGCTGCAGCGTCTGGTGCAACGGCTGGTGCAGGTGATGCGGCGCCGGCACTGCGTGGGGCTGAGCGCGCCGCAGCTCGGGGTGCCGCTGCAGGTGCTGGCTCTGGAGCTCCCGGAGGCGCTCCTCCGCGCCTACACGCCTTGCATGCGCGAGGTCCGCCAGATGGAGCCCTTCCCCCTGCGCGTGTTCGTGAACCCCACGCTTCGCGTGTTGGACAACCGCCTGGTCACCTTTCCTGAGGGCTGCGAGAGCGTCTCCGGCTTCCTGGCCTGCGTGCCCCGCTTCCAGGCCGTGCAGATCTCAGGTGACGGGTGGCAGGGGCCCTGGGGCGCCTCCCCTCTGGTTGACTCAGTTTCCGCAAATCTCCAGTTAAATTTATAAGCCAGGTCTCCTGTGATCAGCAAAGAGCAGATCCGGGAGTGAATTGGACTCAGGACTGACAGATTGTGTTGGGGCAGGATGCTCCTCTGAGGGTACAGCCAGCTCCAGTGGGGAATGTGGAGTGGGGGCTGCGAGGGTGTCCTTGTTCCGATGTTACGTCCCACTCCGTCCTCTGCTTCATGCTGCCAGAGGCGTAGCGAGTGGAGGGCCAAGAAGGAGGCACTTGTTGTCCCCCACCCTCCGCAAGTACAAGAGGGCGCCAGACGAGGCGCATTATTAACATTAGCAGGCACACAAATATGAAAGGCAGCTGGACAAGAGGGGAGAAGGGGTTTCTGCTGACACATAGCTGCTGTCTATTCTTCTTGAAATTGGGGGGTGGCGGGCAACTTGGAGATCGCCCTGGGGCCCTTGAATGGCGGGGGGGGGGGGGGGGGGGGGGAGGTGCAATTTAGGGATTGCCCCGGGGCGCTGTTACTCTCTTTAAGCTCCTGCATGCTGCCTCTCTGTACTCACACACATTTCTGCCCCCAATTAGATCTGTCCTGCTTGGGTTGAAGAAATGAGACCAGCTTTGCCCAGCCCAGTTCCACAGGATGCTTTTGTGGAATGTAGTTCTTTGCCAGGGTTGGGATGATTTCTTGAGCAATCCAGTTGGTCCAAGAAGGTCAGAAAGTCAGCTCTATTTTATAGTGTTGTTGTTGCTGTTAGTTGCTGTCGATCTGGATTTATGACGACTCCATGTGTGCATAGTAGAATGGCTCCATGAGGTTTTCAAGGCCGTTACCTTTCGGACTTAGATCGCCAGGCCTGTCTTCCAAGGCGTCTCTGGGTGGGTTTGAACCACCAACCTTTTAGCTAGTGTACCTTTGTTAGGAATTGAAAGCAAACGGCAATACTTCGGAAGGGAGGAGTGTTGAAAGTGGAAGCACCTTCGGAAGACACTTTGTCATCTCTCAGCCCCAGGGTGAGCCAGCAACCTAAACTTCAGAGGTGAGAACCAGGCTGGATACTTGATAATTCAACCTGAGGCATCTTTTCTAGGAAGAATAGGGCTGCTGTCTACATTCCCTTTCTGATGTTGCTTTTGTGAATAGGAACAGCCATAGGTGGTTGGGGAATAGGGTAAGGAGGTTGAGAGTGATTGTTGCAATTGGGCATGTCCTCACTGAGGCTGTCATTCCCTTTGCAGGGCTGGACCCAAGAGGACAGCAGGTGGTGTGGCAGGCGAGTGGGTGGGCAGCCCGCATCATCCAGCATGAAATGGACCACTTGCAGGGCTGCCTGTTCATTGACAAAATGGACAGCAGGACGTTTACAAATACCCATTGGATGGAGGTGAACGACTAAAGCTTTCCTCCTGCTTCTGAGGATTCTGAAAACCAGGACACACACACTTTGGCTTTGAGCTGGGCATGTGTTACTTGGCATCGACTTGGTACTGGCTTGCATCAGACAGAAAACAATGGACTGCCAAGCATGCCGAGTTGCAGGAAGATATTAGAAATGTTTGCCTGAAATCATCTGTGGACACAATATTGTCTTCAACTTGACAAGAAAAACGAACTCCCTGAAGCAGTGGACTTTTCCTGACAATTTTGTATGGAGAGAACCGGGGGCAAGTAAATAACCATTCTCAGTAGAAATTACTTCATAGGACCTGTATGATCTATTCCTAAAGCAAAGATTTCATAATAATGTAGTCCCAAAATATCTGGTGGAAATCCTTGTTTACAAATGCGGGTAAGAGTGTTGACCATCTTCACTGAGTTCTTATTTTTACAAAGGGTTTGTGTGTATGTATCTAACCTGCAGAGTCCATGGTTTGCCTTGGACACCAGCTTCCTTGTGGAAGTAAACAGGACGGAATGGCCCCAGTTTAAGGAAGTGTTTGATGCCAGTGTTAATGTAAGTAAGTACCCACCCATTTTAACAGGTTCAAATATAGTTTAGGTCTCTACCTTTCGCCTTCCACTTTTAACAGACTTGGGGAAGATGTTTCTGCTCAGATTTCTTGGGCAGCTGGTACCTGGCTTAGTCACTGAGTAGAGGCCATTGAGCAGGGCTGGGGACAGGTTGATAGTTGAGAGGGAGCAACAAGCCTCTTCCTTAGTCATAATTAGGATAGAAACAGAAAGCAGAACTTGTGCTTCTTGGTCACAATTAATTTGGAAAAATAAATTAGCATCATGCTGACCAGAGTAAGAAACTGGAGGAGCATTGTCAAGAGCTTCTTGGTCACAATTAATTTGGAAAAATAAATTAGCATCGTGCTGACCGGAGTAAGAAACTGGAGGAGCATTGTCAAGAGGTGAAGAAACTTCAGTTTCTTTCATTATCTTACCTCATTTTTATGTCCTGAGTTTTGCAATGTACCTTTACCAAATAAAGTCCCCAAGATTGATGTAGACATGTAGTAGGAAGTCCAATAAGTTGTCTAGAGAAAAAGTGTTTTAAACAGTAGTTTATTAAACAAACCCAGGAAAGACCCACTCTCCCCTAACGCTTTCTCTAAACAGGCCAACTCTGGGGACTTGGCCCAAGCAAAGTAAACTGATTCTGTGCATTAAAGCTTCAGAAAGGAATCATGACCAAGCACTGCCCCAAGCAAGGTTAGAGACTCAGACTTTGGGGAAGTTTGTAGAAAGTTCCCCTTTATAATGAAAACATGGGTCTTTACACAAATCAGAATTCACTCAGCCTCTTTTTATCTGGATATTGTTCCGATGATCCTGTGGAGTGGCACTGGGGACATTCTGCTGCTTCCATTTAGTGTTCCGAAGTTAACAGTCTTTAGTAGCATCTTTGTGACATAGATCAGTAGCACTTGCCTCCAGCTTCCTGACAGGGAGGCCTAAGAGTAAGCGTTTGCTCAGAGTGGAATATGGAGGAAGCCTGTTGTTGTTAGGTGTCTTTAAGTCGATTCCAACTCATAGCGACCCCACGTACAACAATGAAACATCGCCCAGTCCTGTGCCATCCTCACAATTTTACACCTGAGGCCACTGTTGCAGCCACTGTGTCAATCCATGTCGTTGAGGGTCTTCCTCTTTTTCGCTGGCCCTCTACTTTACCAAACATGATGTGCTTCTCCAGGGACTGGTCCCTCCTGATAACATGTCCAAAGTATGTGAGACAAAGTCTTGCCATCCCTGCTTCTAAGGAGCATTCTGGCTGTACTTCTTCCAAGACAGATTTGTTTGTTCTTCTGGCAGTCCATGGTATTCTCCATCAACACCATAATTCAAAGGCATCAGTTCTTCCTCCGTCTTCTTATTCATTGTCCAGTTTTCACATGCGTATGAGGTAATCGAAAACACCATGGCTTGGGTCAGGAGCACCTTAGTCCTTAAAGTGACGTCTTTGCTTTTTGACATTTTAAAGAGGTCTTTTGCAGCAGATTTGCCCAATGCAATGTGTCGTTTGATTTCTTGACTGCTACATCCATGGGTATTGACTGTGGATCCAAGTCAAATGAAATCCTTGACAATTTCAATCTTTTGTTTATCATGATGTTGCTTATTGGTCAAGTTGTGAAGATTTTTGTTTTTATGTTGAGGTGTAATCCATACTGAAGAGTCTTTGATCTTCATCAGTAAGTGCTTCAAGTCCTTTTCACTTCCAGCAAGCAAGGTTGTGTCATCTGCATATCACAGGTTGTTAATGAGTCTTCCTCCAATCTTGACACCCCATTCTTCTCCAGCTTCTAGGATTATTTGCTCAGCATACAGATTGAATTAAGTATGGTGAAAGGATACAACCCTGACACACACCTTTCCTGATTGTAAACCACGCAGTATCCCATTGCTCTATTCAAATGACTGTCTCTTGGTCTATGTACAGGTTCCTCATGAGTACAATTAAGTGTCCTGGAACTCCCATTCTTCACAATGTTATCCATAATTTGTTATGATCCACACAATCAAATGCCTTTGCATAGTCAATAAAACACAGGTAAACATCTTTTTGGTATTCTCTGCTTTTCAGCCAAGATCTGACATCAGCAGTGATATCCCTTGTTCCATGTCTTCTTCTGAATCCAGCTTGAATTTCTGGCAGTTCCCTGTCAATGTACTGCTGCAGCTACTTTTGAATGATCTTCAGCAAAATTTTACTTGTGTGTGATATTAATATTGTTCGATAATTTCCACATTTTGTTGGATCACCTTTCTTTGGAATGGGCACAGATATGGATCTCTCCCAGTCGGTTGGCCAGGCAGCTGTCCTCCAAATTTCTTGGCATAGATGAGTGAGCACTTCCAGTGCTGCATCCCTTTGTTGAAACATCTCAGTTGGTATTCCGTTAATTCCTGGAGCCTTGTTTTTTGCCAACGCCTTCAATGCAGCTCGGACTTCTTCCTTCAGTACGATCAGCTCTTGATCATATGGTGCCTCCTGAAATGGTTGAATGTCAACCAGTTCTTTTTGGTACAGTAACTGTGCGTTCCTTCCATCTTCTTTTGATGCTTCCTATGTCGTTTAATATTTTCCCCGTAGAATCCTTCTTCAGTATTGCAATTCGAAGCTTGAATTTTTTCTTCAGTTCTTTCAGCTTGAAAAATGCCAAGCATATTCTTCCCTTTTGGTTTTCTAACTCTAGGTCTTTGCACATTTCATTATAATACTTTACTTTGTCTTCTCAAGCTACACTTTAAAATCTTCTGATTCAGCTCTTTTACTTCATTTTTTGCATTTGCTTTAGCTACTCTACGTTCAAGAGCAAGTTTCATAGTCTCTTTGGACATCCATTTTGGTCTTTCTTTTCCTGTCTTTTTAATGACCTTTTGCTTTCTTCATGTATATTGTCCTTGATGTCATTCCATGACTTGTCTGGTCTTTGGTTATTAGTGTTTAATCAGTCAAATCTATTCTTGAGATGGTCTCTAAATTCAAGTGGAAAATACTCAAGGTCATACTTCGGTTCTTGTGGACTTGTTATAATTTTCTTTGGCTTCAACTTGAACTTGCATAGGAGCAATTGATGGTCTTTTCCACAGTCCGCCCCGGCCTTGTTCTGACTGATGATGTTGCGCTTTTCCATCATCTCTTTCCACAGATGTAGTCAATTTGATTCCTGTGTATTCCATCTGGGAAGGTCCACGTGTGTAGTCACTGTTCATGTTGGTGAGAAAAAGTGTTTGTAATGTAGAAGTTGTTGGTCTTGCGAAGTCTATTATGCCATCTCCGACGTCATTTCTATCACCACGGCCATATTTTCTAACTACTGTTCCTTGTTTCCAAACACCAGTAATTATCAATGCATCTTGATTGCACGTTTGGTCAATTTCAGACTGCAAAAGTTGGTAAAAATCTTCAATTTCCTCATCTTTGGCATTAGTGATTGGTGCTTAAATTTGAATAGTATTCGTATTAACTGGTCTTCCTTGTATTAGGTGTATGGATGTTATCCTATCAATGACAGCGTTGTACTTCAGATCTTGAAATGTCGTTTTTAATGATGAATGTGGTGCCATTCCTCTTCAATTTGTCATTCCCAGCATAGTAGACCATGACTGTCTGATTCAAAATGGCCAATACCAGTCCATTTCAGCTTACTAATGCCTAAGATATCGATGTTTATGCATTCCATTTTATTTTTGATGACTTCCAATTTTCCTAGATTCATACTTTGTACATTCCATGTTCTGATTATTAATGGATGTTTGCAGCTGTTCTCATTTTGAGTCATGCTACATCAGCAAATGAAGGTCCCAGAAATTTGATTCCACCCATGTCATTAAGGTCAACCCTACTTTGAGGAGGCAGCTCTACCTTAGTCATATTCTGAGCGCCTTCCAACCAGAGGGGCTCATCTTCAGGCACTGTATCAGATAGTGTTCCACTGCTATTCATAAGGTTTTCACTGGCTAATTTTTTCAGAAGTAGACTGCCAGGTCCTTCTTTCTAGTCTGTGTTATAGTCTGGAAGCTCAGCTGCAACCTGTCCACCATGGGTTACCCTGCTAGTATTTGAAATACCGGTGGCATAGCTTCCAGCATCACAGCAACACACAAGCCACCACAGCAGGACAAACTCACAGCATGTAGGGGGAAGAAGCCTGTCTATATTGCTGACAAAGCATGAGACTGACTGTTGTAACCCAATCTGCACAGGCAGAAGGATTTGGTTGACTAGCTGAAGACAATACAGCCCAAAGGCAACAAGTTCTTGCATTTTCAATAAAGAACATCTTTTCTGCCTAAGAGATACCAACCACGAAAACTACACACACACGACACCATCAGCATACTGAGCTGGTGAAAGTTTTAGAAATCAGCTTCCAAAGTGAAAGCCAACGTAGGCAGAAGGCTCAGAACCGAATCCTCAGTTAGGGAAGAAGGCAGTTTCAGAGTAAGCATTTAGAGGAGAAACTTCTCTGCACATTAGCCATGTGTCACATATAATGACCTGACAGGTCACGCATTGGCAGCATAAGCACAAGGCCACAGTTGGCCAGCAGTTAGTTTAGCATCCGTGGTGACCAGGACCTTTGTTCACCCTGTCACTGAGGCATAGCTTAACTAGAGCTACGGGGAGGAACTGGAGCAGCTGCAAACTTTCTGTAACCCTCTGCTTTGTCAAGGTGTTTAAGTAGACTAAATGAGGCGGCAGGTAAAACAGCAAGGACTTTCTGATTCAAATAAAGATAACTGGAAGTAGAATAGAAAAAATACTTGTAACTAAGTGCCAGCTCTAGAGCCTTGGGTGTCTTACTATCAGGGGTCGGATTCCCACAGGCAACGCAAACAGGTGACGCAGTCCACTGGTGGACACATGCCCCTTCTAAACAGGGCAGTGCTCCTTAGCTATAGCTGAGAGGTGGTTTCATGGGAACGCAGGCTCAGCTTTACCTAATCTTTCAGAAACCGAAAGGCTCAATTTTTACTCCTGAGTTTTAAGTGCTGACAGTTGACCAAACCCCTGCAGGCCAGGTCTGGTCCATGAGCTTCCTGGTTTGTAGATTTTGATCTGGAGGCTGGACAACAGGAAGAACTGTCCAGGTTCCTTAAACACCTCAGTCAAACCTGAAGTCTTAGGGGTAAAGAGGCCTTGCAAATCTGACTGGAGAACAGGTGTGAGAGGACTCCCTGCTCTGCTTACTAGAGAGAGAGGCTGAGAGAGAAAACCAGAGTCTTTTTATTGGAAGAAAGAGTAGCCCTCAAACAGCCCTGTGTAAGAGTCAAAGATGAGAACACTCAGGGGGCTCCAGAAGGGAAAAGGATTTATTAGACCATTTCCAGGACAGGGGCCCAGGGGCAGTGGCTGGGCTCAGTGTTGTCACATTCAGAGGAAGACAAGGCAGCAGTGAAACCCACCTGACTGCGCCTTCACACATTCTCATCTACACAGCTTAGTGCTCACAAAGACCATCTCCTCCTCCTGCAAGAAGACGTGAGACCCTGGACGTACACTGAGGAGGGAGGGAATGTACTCCCGAGGGGGATACTTGTAGGCAGAGTGTGGGCTGGGGACCTAGGGGCATAAGCCAGCCTGTTCTCCAGTTCGACTTGGGTCTAAACGGGGGGTGCGGCTGGCAAGCCGCCCTGAAGTTTTGCTGCACCCAACCCACAGCAGGGCTGCTCCCACTCCTTGATGCTTCCAGGTGATTTTATTTTTATTTATAAACAAGACAAAAATCCAAGCAGCATTAACTTAGGGGAACAAAAAGTTTTTTTTTTTTTTTTTTTTAAAAAAAAAAAGAAAAAAAATGACATGGGGGCAGGAACAGGCATTGGTGAGCATCCAGAAGAGAAGAGCCAGGATTCCACTGTGAGCCAAATGTGCTTCGTAGCATCTCTGCGGCTAGGGAGGCCCTTCCTGCCCGCTTCCAGCTGGCGGCCAGACAGCAGAGAGGACGCTGTAGTGACTTTAGGACAGCTCCGGAGCTCTGTCTGGCCACTGACATGGGGAGTGCCGTGGATTTGCCCCGATCAACCTCCCACCTTCACCATCACCCATGTGAAGAAGCTTTTAACTCTCTTGTCCAAACTCCTCTGAGAACTTCTTCACTTTCAGAAGGTCATCTGCATTCACAGTGGGCCGGGTGGTGGCCAAAGACCGGAGCATGTCCGACTACAAGACAAAAGCAGACAGCTGAGGAGGGGCCAGGCACTGGGTCCTCAGCCTCCCCTCATCTGAGCACCATGCAGTTTAGGGTGGGAAGAGGCCTGACTTTGGGGTCACCCAGACCCCCTCCCCCAAATGCACAACTCCCTATAGTTGCCCACTTCTGCTTGAATGCCCCTTGTGCAGGGACCCTCTGCTGAGGCAGCTCATGTCATTTCCAGATGGGCCTATTTCTGGTCTGAGAGAACCTAAGCAGCCCATCATCTCCTCACTCCATTAGCAGCTCTTAGCTGCACGCCTATCCATCCAGTCATAATGGCAGGCACCTGGCAAAACAAAACGGGCAAGAAGTTGGCAAAACTAAGGTAAGGGGGAGTCAGGACTATTCAGGCAAGTGGCTGCCTTTGGACTCCATCAAGTCAAATCATGCTGACATAAATTTACTGGTTCCTTCTGTGTGCAAAATAAGCCAAACCCATGGCACGATGTAGTCGCATAATCTGATCTTTTACTCTTCTTGCTAAAGAAAATCTCTATTTTGGAGAGCCATAGCAGCCCAGGATAGAAAAGGGGAGAAATTTATTTTTATTCTTGGATCCAAGCCCCAGTTTTCTGGGCTCTGTGCAGTCCTCTCTCCCCACTGGTCACTTACCATGCAAACCACAGGCTCTAAGAGTTTGTCACTAGGGACATCCATCCAAGTCATCTCCATGGCCCCCGGGTCCCCTGGTGAGCATGGGGTCAGGAGGTCATCAATCATAATGCTAGGGTTGGTGCGGGAAGGGCCACTGACCTGAAACCAAAAGGGAGTTTGACTGGCTGGAGTGGCTGCCAATCAGTGTTTGGGGTAGGGACAGGAAGCCTCAGGTTTCTGAATCCTAAAGAGAAGGTAATGGGTAGGTGTGAGCACCGGGGTTTCTGGGCCATTGGTGGTCTGAGGAGGGATAGGCCCTACTAAAGCTCTTGGGCTGAGTGGTAACCGTGGCTTGAGGTCTGAGTTCAGAGGTTCATTATCAGCACATTGGTCTTTCTAGTCACTGTCCCCAGGATCTCAGTTTATAGCCCCAAATACCTTGATACCTTCCTCGTTAAAGCCACTGAATCTCGGCACAAATGCAGTAACACCAGAGATGTTTTTCCAACCAATTCTGCTCCATTGGCAACATTTCTCTAAATATCCTCAAGGCTCATCCCCTCACCTCCCTCAAGTGTCGCCTCAGTGTAGCCTGTCCTTTAAGAGTGCACCCTGTCCACCCCGCTCCAAACCTCAGCAACCCGCCACCTCCCTTACCTGCTCTATCTCCCCACTCACCACCCTCTAAGACACTAGTGTTTTGTTTATCGTCTGTCTCCCTGCCACCAGGAAGGGGGCTGCTAGAGGGTAGAGATTTTTGTCTTTTGTGGCAACTTGTGTCTCCCCAGCACCTAGAACAGTGCCAGACACCTAGCAGGACCCACAGCAGACACTCAACAAAGAACTACTGAATAATGGATGAGTCCTTACAATCTGTAATTTTACATCCAACACTTTTCAAACATTTCTTAGGTGTCCACCATGCACAAAAAGCCCAGAGCTGACCGTGGAGGCTGCCGAGGACAGCACCCCGTCCTCTAGTTGTGCACAATCTGAGATGGCCACACTCAGGCAGGAAGAACTGCGGGGAGGGGGAGAGCGTGTGCAAGGCCTCTGGAGCAAGGGCTCGCTTTGCATTTGCCTGTGGTTCTCTAGGTGACTGGGAATGTGTCACCTAAGCAGCCAAGTAGCAGGGCCAGGGAGCTGGGAAAGAAAACCAGTATCCCTCCTTTCCTGTGGCATTTTCCAAGCACCTCCTTGCTGGCCCACTCACCTTTTCATGTTTTTTTTTTTATTGTTGTGCTTTAAGTGAAAGTTTACAATTCAAGTTAGTCTCTCATACAAAAATTTATACATACATTGTTATGTGACCCTTGTTGCTCTCCCTATACTATGACAACACACTCCTCCTTCCCACCCGGATTTCCCATGTCCTGACCCTCTCTGCCTTCTCATCTCGCCTCTGGACAGAAGCTGCCCCACTCACCTTTTTGAAGTGTGTTGCTGACTGTACTTTTCTAACAGGCTGCATGAGGGAGTCCCGCACGATGATGCTGATGTCTGCGCCCGAGTAGCCTTCCGTCTTCCGGGCCAGCTCGTGGATGTTGGCATCTGTGAGGTTGTGGGGAGTGCTCCCCAAATGCAACCGGAACATCTGGGCCCGGGCAGCTTCCTCTGGCAACGGGATATAAATCCGCTTTTCAAACCTAGAGAACCAAGCACACAGCAGGAATTGAGAGCTGATGATGGAATGGTATCAATGAAAAGGGGAGGCACGGAGATTCTAGATTCTAGAGAAGCAAGATGACTTTACGGGTCAGTGACGCCAGTGGCATGGCCCTAAAGCAGGCTTCACAAAGGGCTCTCTCTGTTCCCCATGCAGACATGGAGAAGACCTGGGAAACAGTTCAGGCTGCAGCCAAAGGGATGCCTGGAGCAGGTGGACTGTGGCTGAGAAAGACTTCAGCCCATGGCACCTGCTGGGGAAGACTCACCTCCTTCTAATGGCCGAATCCAATACCCATGGGATATTTGTGGCACCAAGAACCAGAGTCCCATCATTGTTATTCCCCACCCCTGTGCAAAAAGGGAAACAAAGATGTTGACTCTGAAAACATCTTCAACGATCAATTAGCACCTCTGGGGAAGAACCTCAGGAGCTTCATGTGTCCATGACCTGAAGCCGCCACTGGCAGAGGTTCCAACCGAAATTAAGCCATGTGCTAGCCTGGGAGTTCCTGGGCATGAAGGGACCGGTGGCCCTGCCGTGGCAGGATGGGCAGAAAGGCAGATGGCAAAGGCCTCTGAAACATCTCATGAAAGCCCATCTAAGATGAAGCCCTTCAAAGGTGGAGCTGATAATTTTCCCCTCCATCCTAAGGACGATCAAATTGAGCCACAACTAAATATTGAAGCCCTGGGCTGGCTTGAAGTGGAACAAGAATCAACACAGTGACCCGGGACTAGCACTCACCCTGCATCTGGACCAAGAACTCTGTTTTGATCCTTCGGGCAGCCTCGCTCTCATTTTCATTTCGGGATCCACAGAGGGAATCTACCTCATCGATGAAGATGATGGAGGGCTTGTGCTGCCTGGCCAGCTCGAACAGGTTCTTTACTAGCCTGTGCATGGGAGAATGGGGTTGGGATCTGGACACTCACATGCCCACCCTGGGTCTCAGTCACCACCTCTCTCCTCTTGCCCTTCCTACAAGGAGGTTGAGACCATGGTTGTGCTTGGATTTCAGAAAAAACAGTGGTGACGGATCCTCTGGCAGCGCTGTACCAAGGGGAAGAGCAAGCCTTGGTGTCAGCTTCAATCTTGGTAGCCACATTGATTAGCTCTGGACTTAGGACAAGTCCCTTCCCTTCCTCTGAGCCTCAATTTCATCATCTGCAAAATGGGAGCTGGTGCGAGGAATAAGTTAACTAAGGTGTGGTAAAATGCCTCAACGGGATACTCAACTGGTAATTAATGCCAGTTCTTCTTCCTTCACTTCTTGAGTACCTCTCTCTTCCAAGGTCCCTTCCAATTTCAACTGTCTTGTCAAGACAGTGCCGCATCCAATAAGCTAGCAAGATACCACTCTCCTGTCTACTTCTCCCTGAATATCCATCAGCAGCTCCTCTGGGAGGTGACTCTGAGGCGCAGGGAGGCTGCAGCAATAGCAGCTGCTGGGGCCCCAGCAGAGCAGGGCCTGATGGCTGACTTACTTCTCACTCTCTCCCAACCACTTAGACATCAAATCTGAGGAGGACACAGAGAAGAAGGTGGAGTTATTGGCCTCTGTTGCCACAGCTTTGGCCAGGTAGGATTTCCCTGTGCCAGGGGGTCCAAAGAGCAGTATTCCTCGCCAAGGGGTACGCTTGCCTACAATGAAGAATAAACCAAAGTGAGCTTCTTCCTGACTGGGGAAAGTAGACAGAAAAAAGCAGAGAATTCTTAGTCACTGTAAACACTGTCAGAAATAAAAGGTTCTATAAATGAATGTATAAGCAAAGGAGTAAAGAGAACTAAGTTACCTGCTGAGAGTGTAGCCCTAGTCCTTGCTGATGACGCCCATGGCGTTCCAAAGTGACACTGGCTAGCTGGCACTGGTTTCTGACCCTGCCCACCTACTGTGATGGTCAATTCAAAGTTCTAGTCACAAGTGTTTCTGACACCAGAGAGAAGGCAAGGAATACAGGACCTTGGTCAGCAAGCCCTGGGGCTTCTCTCTTCCTTCTCCTCGGAAGCTGTCACCCTCTCAGGACAAACGGAGCTGAATTGCCACCTGCTCCCAGTACCTTCAGAGTGGCTACCTTAGAAGCCTGATATTTTTACATCTGGACCTAAAGTGGCTCAACTCTTACCTGTGAACAAGTGTGGGAATTTAATTGGCAAAATGACAGCTTCTTTAAGGGCCTCCTTGGCCCCCTCCAGCCCAGCCACATCACTCCACCGAATGTTGGGCTTCTCCATCACAACAGCACCTGCAACAGAGAGGCAGAGCCTTCAACCCCAAGCCTGGCCAATGAACATGAGCCAACCCACCAGGGGACCCTTGCCATGCGCCCTCCCACTGCCATAGGGCCTTGAGCCTCTTACCCATCAGTTGCTCTTGCAATTTCTTTTTTTCTGGATTATCCCCTTCACTGTCACTATCGCTGCTAGGAAAGGAGACACAAGATCATAAGTTGGCATTTCATCCTGGGAGCAATGGGCCATTGGCAAGGAGGCTCTCAGAGTGAGGCCAGACTCTGGCTGCTGGCACAGGGGCAAAGGAACGCTTCCCGTGCTCAACACTGGGTAGTGGCTGGCAAGCAGGTACCTCAATGACATTAGGGACACATTATCAGCAACCCACTTCTGGACCCCCCAGGAAACACTCTCATAAGCCACCCTTGTTTCTTCATCAAGGGGAGAAGAAGAGAGATATCTGCCCTCTCCAGGAGGCTGGGGAGAGAAATGTGTTTTGGCTGCATTTAAACAGCAGCCAGTCAAGCAAATGCAGCTGCCATTAGTCTTTCATACAGACTCTTGGAAACAGACAGTTGTGACTCCAAATTACCATTCCTCACTTACCAACATGATTAGGTTTCAAAGACCAGGTCATTATGAAAAAATTGGTGTTACATGAAAATGGAGGATGACTATATCATTACATAACTGCCAAACAACATTGTTACATAACTGCCTAACCATTGAGAATCACTGCCCAGCCAAGTTGAGACATAACCTTAACCATCACAGCCAGCGTTACTCTTGCCTTGTGCCTCGGCATTCACTGCTATCAGACGTACATCATTAATGCGCAAAATAGTTGGGTGGTAGATTTTCACTATTGTCATAAATGCAAAACGTCAGATAATGAGACAGTTGGTAAGTGAGGAGTGGGTATAGTCACATTCCAAAGGACAGAGAAGACGTAAACATTTAAACGTAAAGGGGAGCACCTGGGAAAAAGAACACAGTAACCAGTCTATTCCAATGGCTAAGTCTTAACCTGAAATAATTTATTTGCCATCCTCAAAATGGTTTCAACCTTCTTGGAGCTCCTTGGCTGCCTGCCCCTTCCTAGGTGTGTCTCTCACTCTGGGAATTAAAAACAGGAGCATACTCTCCATCAAGGAGGAGAGGGAGGACTGGTGAGGCAGCTGACGCATCACCCTACCTCTCTCCTATCCATGACCCCCCTGCACCGGGACCCTATCCTCCTCACCTCTGGGAAACCACTAACTTTTGTGCTCTCTGTGGAACTTACATCCACTAGCTAGAATCACTATGGTGGGTGAACCACAGATCCAAGGTGAGAGGCTGTGGAGAGAGCACTGGCTTTGGAATCAGAAACAGAGGTCCTGGATATGGGAAGGCTCTCTTGTACTAGCACTGTGATCCTGGCAAATCTCTGCTGCCTTATCTGTCTAGGAAGATGATAACTGTTTAATAATAATAATGGTGGATACTCATGTAGTGCTTACTAAGTGCCAAGCAAAAGGAGCCCTGGTGGTGCAGTGGTTAAGTGCTCAGCTTCTAACAGGAAGGTCGGTGGTTAGAACCCACCAGCTGCTCTGAGGGAGAAAGATGTGGCAGTCTGCTTCTGTAAAGATTACAGCCTTGGAAACCCTATGGGGCAGTTCTGCTCTCTCCTAGAGGGTCGCTATGAGTTAGAATCGACTAGAGAGCAACAGGTTTGTTTTTTTGGTTTTTAACTGCCAAGCTCTTTTCTAAGGGCACTGTCCAGATCATTTCACTTGCTCCTTACACCACCACTAGCACGGAAATTCCATTCTCTTCCCTCTTTTGCAGACAAGAAAACTGGAGGCACAGGGGGATCACATGGCATGTGTCCAAGGTTACAAGGTCACACGGCTGGAAGTGGCCAAGCCAGGGCTCTACCCTGACAGTCTAGTTGCCGAGTCCAGTCTTAACCTCCATGTTGAGTTCCCCATCTCCCCCACCAGCTTTTTTGTACAGATCCAAAGGGATAATATATGAAAGTATGCTACAAAGTGCTTAATGAAAGCACCTGCAAGCATTATTACTATTATGAGGATTCCTCATAAGGAAGGCACTGTGGAAGTCCAAGGCAGCATTAGTTCCAAGAATGACAGTGACACATGAAAAGGGCACATGGACTGGGGGCTCTGGGGCTGCCCTTAGCCAGCCAGCCTGCACTTGGGGCAGTACACACTCCTCCTTCTGCACTCACCCTTTGCCCTCACTCTGGTTCTCTTTGACTGGCTTCTTGCCATGCTTCTCTTTGTTTCGTAAATAATCCTTCAGCTTCTCTGCCCGGTCTAGGTACTGCATGCACTTGGCGCGAATACTCTCCTTGGCCTTGTCACTGTGTGCCTCATCTGCAGGAGGGAACCAGAGAGGTATCCTGTAAACCCCAGTGACCACTCTCCTTCTGCAGAGGCTCCACAGCAGAGGACCCAAGCGTGACTCACATTTGATGGCGTGTAGGAAATACTCCACAGCATGCTGGTAGAGCCGAAGTGCCTCCTCATAGTTCTTGGCTTTATCCTCTTCTGTAGCTTTTGTCACCAGATCAATGGCTTTCTGGAAAGGCAGAACAAAGAGTCCAGTACTCCCACAGAGACCCAGAAAGCCCTTTGCAGCAGGAAACACTGATGAGAGATACTGCCAGGCCAGTGGACTTGTCAGCTGCAAACCAGTATGTCAGCTTACTTTTCCAGTATCAATAAGCAAGGCCCAAACAGGAAGCTTTAAAAGCTAGTTGTCCCATAATTAAGGGCATTTATACAAAGCCAACAGCCAACATTATTCTAAATGGAGGGAGTCTGAAAGCATTCTCCTGGAGAACAGAACCAGACAAGGATGCCCTTAATCACCATTCTTATTCAACATTGTAATGGAGGTCCTAGCCAGAGCAATTAGGCTAGAAAAAGAAATAAAGGGCATCAGAATTGGTAAGGAGGAAGTAAAAGTATCTCTATTTGCAGATGATATGATCTTACACACAGAAAACTCCAAAGAATCCACAAGAAAACTACTAGAACTAATAGAAGATTTCAGCAAAGTATCAGGATATAAGATAAACATACAAAAATCAATTGGATTCCTCTACACTAACAAAGAGAACTTCCAAGAGGAAACCACCAACTCAATACTATTTACAATAGTCCCCAAGAAGATAAAATACTTAGGAATAAATCTAACCAGAGATGTAAAAAAACCTATACAAAGAAAACTACAAGACACTACTGCAAGAACCAAAAGAGACTTACATAAGTGGAAAAACATACCTTGCTCATGGATAGGAAGACTCAACATTGTGAAAATGTCAATTCTACCCAAAGCAATCTACACATACAATGCAAACCTGATGCAAATTCCAAAAATATTTTTTAATGAGACGGCAAAACAAATCACCAACTTCATATGGAAAGGGAAGAGGCCCCGGATAAGTAAAGCATTACTGAAGAAGAAGAACAAAGTGGGAGGCCTCACACTATCTGATTTTAGAACCTATTATACTGCCACAGTAGTCAAAACAGCCTGGTACTGGTACAACAACAGATACATAGACCAATGGAACAGAATTGAGAATCCAGATGAAATTCATCCACCTATGAGCAGCTGATATTTGACAAAGGCCCAGAGTCCATTAATTGGGGAAAAGACAGTCTCTTTAACAAATGGTGCTGGCGTTAACTGGATATCCGTCTGCAAAACACTGAAACAAGACCCATCCCTCACACCATGCACAAAAACTAACTCAAAATGGATCAAAGACCTAAATATAAAATCGAAAACAATAAAGATCATGAAACAAAAAATAGGGACAAGACTAGGAGCCCTAATACATGGCAAAAACAGAATACAAACCATAAGTAACAATGCACAAACACCAGAAGAGAAACTAGGTAACTGGGAGCTCCTAAAAATTAAATACTTATGCTCATCAAAAGACTTCACCAAAAGAGTCAAAAGACAACCTACAGACTGGGAAAAAATTTTTGGCTATGACAAATCTGATCAGCGTCTGATCTCTGAAGTCTATAAGATACTGCAAAACCTCAACAACAAAAAGAGAAATAGCCCAATTAAAAAATGGGCAAAAGATATGAATAGGCACTTGACCAAAAAAGACATTCAAGCAGCTAAAAGACACGAGGAAATGCTCATGATCATTAGCCATTAGAGAAATGCAAATCAAAACTACAATGAGATACCATCTCACCCCACTGAGGCTAACATTAATCAAAAAAACACAAAATAATAAATGTTGGAGAGGTTGTGGAGAGACTGGAACACTTATACACTGCTGGTGGGAATGTAAAATGGTACAACCACTTTGGAAATTGATTTGGCACTTCCTTAAAAAGCTGAAAATAGAAGTACCATATGATCCAGCAATCCCACTCCTTGGAACATATCCTAGAGAAATAAGAGCCGTCACACGAATAGATATATGCACACCCATGTTCCTTGAAGCACTGTTTATGATAGCAAAAAGATGGAAACAACCTAGATGTCCATCAATGGACAAACAATGGATAAACAAATTATGATACATTCACACAATGGAATACTACGCAACGATAAAGAACAATGATGAATCTGTGAAACATCTCATAACATAGATGAATCTGGAAGGCATTATGCTGAGTGAAATTAGTCGCAAAAGGACAAATATTGTATAAGACCACTATTACAAGAACTCAAGAAAAGGTTTAAACCCAAAGCTAAGAAGTTTCCTGAATACAACCAAACACTTCAAGGGACACAGTAGCAGGGGTGAGGGTCTGGGGACCATGGTTTCAAGGGACATCTAGGTCAACTGGCATAATAAAGTTTATTAAGAAAATGTTCTGCATCCCACTTTGGTGAGTGGTGTCTGGGGTCTTAAAAGCTGGCCATCTAAAGATGCCATCAATTGGTCCCAACCCACCTGGAATAAAGGAGAATGAAGAACACCAAAGACACAAGGAAAGCATTAGCCCAAGAGACAGAAAGGGCCACGTAAACTAGAGACTTCGTCAGCCTGAGACCAGAAGAACTAGATGGTGCCCGGCTACCACAATGACCTCCCTGACAGGAAACACAACATAGAGTCCCTGAGGAACAGGAGAAAAGTGGGGTGCAGAACTCAAATTCTAATAAAAAGACCAGACTTAATGGTTTGATTGAGACTGGAGGGACCCCAGAAGACATGGCCCCCAGACTCTCTGTCAGCCCAAAACTAAAACCATTCCTGAGGCCAACTCTTCAGACAAAGATTAGACTGGACTATAAGACATAAAATGATACTTGTGAAAAGTGTACTTCTTAGCTCAAGTAGATACATGAGACTAAACGGGCAGCTCCTGTCCGGAGGTGATATGAAAAGGTGAAAGGGATAGAAGCTGGTTGAATGGACACGGGAAATTCGGGTGGAAAGGAGTGTGCTGTCACAGTATAGGGAGAGCAACTAGGGTCACATAACAATGTGTGTAAATTTTTGTATGATAAACTAACTTGAATTGTAAACTTTCACTTAAAGCATAAAAAAAAAAAAAAAGCTTGTTGTCCCTCTTCACAATAAGCACATACAATTAAAAGCAACTTCCTTCTCAGCCCTTGCTCCAGATTTCCGCAAGCGGAAGCCTGATCTAACGTCTCAGGTAAGGGCTCCAAAGGGAGAGTTCACAGGACTTTGTATTCCACAGCCTCAGGGGAAAGAGAGACATGGACTGAGAGCCTAGAAATCGGGAAACACTGGGACAAATCAATTGCTGTGTAGCTCAGCATGGAGGCCAGAAAGTACACTTGGCCTTGAGGGCCAGAGAGAAGCCAGTCAGACAGGGAAGTCCTTCATCGACCTGAGGTTTTCTGCGGGATGGATTTAAACGGACTTTTACTCCCTTCTACTGGCCTAACTCAACTTGGTTTCTCAAGGCTGAAAAGACAGTTGTCCTAAAGTCAGGTACCTAAGGAGGGGATGTTCAGGCACAGAGTTCACTATACCGGTAGCTCCAGTAAGAAAGGTGCTTGGTTACAGCAGAGGTAAGTATGTGCTGCTAATCAAGGGGCACTGTCCTCTGGAATCTTCTAAGAACTCTGTGAGTCTTTGTGAATCTCACAAATCCTGCAGGCCTGTGCCCTAGTCTCAACGAAAAGCATACCAGCTCTTTTCAGGCAGCTGCCCCACACCTACATACCCACTTTTAGAAACTGCAGCTTCCCCAACCAGGAAGCATTACCATAAATTACCATCCTCAGTCAGATATAGCACTGCTCCCCTGGCATGCAGATCCCACCATACACCCAGAGCCCCATCCACAGCAAACAATAAACTTCCTGGCCAGCTTCTGGCAGGGCTGGGGCATTTGTTAAGTCCTTCCTCATTTGAAGGTAAGACGTCTCGGAAGGACATGGACTACAAAACTAACAGACTAGAGTAAGTTAGGCCAGGCTGATGGTAAATGAACTCACCAGACTGAAAAGATGAGAAAAGGTGTAAAAGAGTGGCTACTATTTTCAAGCTTCAGCTCCCCCCACTAACTACAAACAGAGAACAGCTAGGAGCCCTGAACCTTCTTGGATGATTGGCTTACACACAAGCTTCACCTGTCTAGTCTCTCTCCCCTGGAGAGCCCTTCAGATAAGACATGAGGCAGTGCTCCTGTCCTGTGTGGCTTCTCTTCTTCAGAATAAACACCCTCAGCTCCTTGGACTTCTTCCTTCCCTAGCATCTCTGTTGTTACTGTTGTTAGTTGCCATGAGTCAGTTCCGACTCATGGTGACCCCGTGTGTGCAGAGTAGAACTGCTCCATAGGGTTTTCAAGACTGTGACATTTCAGAAGCCCATCACCAGGCCTGTCTTCTGAGGCACCTCTGGGTGGGTTTGAACAGCCAACTTTTCAGCCAGAAGTCTAGTGCTTAACCATGTGCATCACCCAGGACACCCTAGCTTCCCTAGTCCTTTTGAAAGGTGGGGCCCAGAACAACAATACTAGGAGCAGAGCAGGCCTGGCTTATGCCCTCCCTCCTTCTAAATACTAAATTAATACTCTAAGAGTGCATTAGATTTTTCTGGCAATCGCATGTGGTTCTTCCACATGCAGGAGGCTTCAGCTTCAGTTTGGAGAGGAAAAGCTTTGTATAACAAGAGGGTAAGGTGACAAAACTGCCAGCCCTGCCACAATTCTAGTAACATGTATGGTGAAGGATGAGGATGAAAGTAAAGATGTGCTAACAAAGGGGCCGGCAAACTTCTTCTGTAAAGGGCCAGATAGTAAACATTTTAGACTTTGCCAGCCGTACAAATCTCTGTTACAATTACTCAACTCTGCTACTGTAGTACGAAAGCAGCCATAGGAAGTATGTAAAGGAATGAGCGCAGCTGTGCCCCAGTGACACTTCATTCACAGATACGGAAACGTGAATTTCATGATTTTCACATGTCATAAAATATTCTATTTTTTCCAGCCATTTACATATGTAAGAACCTACAACATGGATGAATCTTAAAAACATAATGCTAAGTGAAAGAAGTCAGTCACAAAGGATTATACATTGTATGATCCCCTTTACATAAAACGTCCGGAACAGGCAAATATATACCAACAGAAAGTAGGTTAGTAGTTACCTAGGGCCAGGAGGGTTGTGGGGACTGGGGAGTGTTAGCTAAGGGATGCAGGGTTTCTTTTTGGAGTGATAAAAATGTTCTAGAATTGACCGTGGTGATGGTTGCACATATCTACGAATATACTAAATGCCACTGAACTGGACACTAAATGGGTGAATTGTATGGTATGTGAATTCTATCTTAATAAAGCTGTTTTTAAAAATGTAAAAACCATTCTTAGCTCACAGGCCATACAAAAACTGGCTGGGCAGGCTGGATCTGGCCTGAAGACTGGTGTTTGTCCACTCTTGTGACAACATATCAGAGCTCTGCGGTTGGGGTCTAGCTTTGTACTCCAGCTACTTCCATGCCTCCATTCCCACTCCCCCCCACATATTGGAATGCTACCATCCTTTGATGCTCTGGCCAAATGCCCCTCTTCCATGAAGTCCTGCCTAACCACCCCCCTCCCCCGCCCCGCCCAATCACTTTGTCTTCAGTTACTGAGCACTAACAATGCACTAGACACTGTGTTATGAATGTTTTAACTGAAGTACTCAATCCAGACCCATTCTCACAACAACCCTATGAATTAGGGTACTCCCATCCCCATTTCACAGACGAGGAAACCCGAGATTCCAAGAACAAACAAACCAGTCCAAGGTCACATGCTAGTGAGTGGCCGAGCAGATTCAACCCAGGTCTAGAGCCTGAGCGTGTTTATGTTTTCTGGTCCTGCAGGAATGGCAGCACCAGGAGAATGGGTCAGTCATTCTTCCAAGTGGCGCCACCCCAGCAGTGCCCTGCACGACCTAAGGAATGAATGAAGGCTCGTTGGCCCAGAAGAGAAGTCGGAGACAAGGGAAGAAGCCGGGGCTTGTTCGAAGTGGGGCACAGGGTTTTCCAGGACCCAGGGCAGAAGACGGGAGTGAGCATCACCAGAGCGACTAGCCCGAACCAGGGCCCGAGCTTCCCCAGGAGACGCCCATGAGGCCCGGTGATCAAAACGACGGTACTGGGGCGCCGGCTGCACGTAGCGGCCTCGGGGCTCCGCCCAGCCGGTGCCGGGGATGGCCTGGGAAGGAGGCCCTCGGCTCCGATCATGTTAAGACATAAACCGGAGAGGCGGAGGACGCAGCCTGCCGGAGCGGGGCGGGGACTGCAAGGCCCGGGCTTCGGGGAGGCCGCCCGCTCGCCCGGTTCCGCAGGCCGCAGGCCTCGCTGCGCCTCCATCGGCTTCCGCAAGCCGCGCCGAGGTACCTGGAGGGTTGACGTTGTCATTTCATCTCCTGGGTCCGCCCCACACCCCGCGGTGCTGCTTGCGGCCTCGGTTCGGCCCCGGAAAGCCCAAGTGCTGGGTCTGGCGCGGGGAGCCCGGGGTGGGGGTCGAGACCGAGAGCCGGCAGAGCCGCCGCTCGCAGCCGGAGCCGAGTCTGAGGGCAAGCGAGCAGCGCGGCCCAGAGCGGTCGGGCTCGAGGCGCGCGGCTGCCCCCTGGAGGCCTAGGCCGGTACTACAGAGACTGCTCCCTGCCGCGGTCGATTGGCCCATCCGGCAGCTAGGAGAGGACTAGGCGGGACAGGGGGCGTGTCTGAGATAGGGCGAGGGGCAGGGAACTGCCTAGGGGGCGTGCCGGGGTGGGGTGGGCCGAGTAGGGGCGAGGCCTGGGGTAGGGGGGTGGGGCCAATGCTTAGGTGGGCGAGGCGAGACCAAGGACCGGAAGTGCCTGGGCCGCGTTTCCAATAAAATATTTGGAGCAAGTATGGGTAGAATGCTCCTTAGAAGCAAAAATGGCGAGATTCATGTCGTTTACTTTGGACATGTTATCAGGAGGGACCAATTCCTGCAGAAAAACATTATGCTTGGGAAAACAGAGTCAGTGGAAAAGAGGAAGCCCCTCAACAAGACTGACAAAAGCGGCTGCAATAGTGGGTTCAAACGTAACAATTATGAAGATGGGGTAGGACAGCAATGTTTCTTTCTATTATACATGGAGTCGCTATGAGTTGAAAGTGGGCACTTAACAACAAGGGAGATTTACTCGCACAATAAACTAAACTTCTCAGAGCTTTGGTTTCCTTGACTTTAAGTAGAGTATAACCGGTAACCGAGGAGCCCTAGTGGCCCTGTGATTAAGAGCCTGCTATTAACCAGAAGGGGGGCAGTTCAGATCCACCAACCGCACCTTGGAAACTCTATGGGACTGTTCTACTTTACAGGGTCGCTGTGAGTTGGAATCGACTTGAGGGCGTAGTGTTTGGTTTTTGAACTGGTACCCCATTGCGTTGGAGTTTATTCTAACTGATGGAGACCCTAAGAGTAGAACTCCCCATAGGGTTTCCAAGGCTGTCGTCTTTACTGAAGATGAGTGCTACGTCTTTCTTCCAGCGAGCGCTGGTGGATTGGAACCGCCGACCATTCGGTTAGTTTAACCACTGTGCCACCAGGGCTCCTTAAGTAGGGCGTAATAATACCTTATGTGGGTTTGGGGGGAATGAATGAGCTACCTTATGTAAAGCATAGTGTGCACCATACTGGGGGCCCAGTGCCTGGTAACTGTTATTACGATACCGGTAGCTCTGTCTAAAGCCTTCTTTTTGCTTGTTTTGATTTTTACGTATTAACCCTTCTACTTTTCCTCTCAGGAAGGCTTTTTTCTTAAACCTCCAAATCTGGGGGCTTTAGCCAAGTGAACTTCAGCACAGCAGATCGGTTATTCACATTCCTTCCTTCAACAGTATTTAGTACCTACTACGTGCTGGGCTCTGCTAGTCTGTGGATAAAACAATGATCAAAACAGATCTGGTGGGTCAGAGGAGAAATATGAGGGTTCATCAGGAGGTAATAAGCGTGTCAAGGCCCATGTGTGAATGCCCACAAGCTATGTGAGCTTCTAACAGGTAATCTATCCAAGATACAGAATCAGGAAAGGCTTCCATTTAGTGGAGGTTCGAGGAATGAGGAGGAAAAGAGCATTCCAGGTTAATAGAACAGCCTGTGTAAAGGCCCCGAAGAGGTCACTGGTGGATTTCAAGAAAACGGACAAGGCCCAGATAGCTAGAGCAGAAAACAAGGCAAAGTATGATGTGAACTGGTGCTGGGGAGGTGGGCAGGGACCAAGACATTTGGCTATAGTAAATATTTTGGATTTTATCCTAAAAACAATGGGAAACCATATTTTAAATAAGTTTTGTTTTGCATTTTGGATAGAGAACTCTAACCCTCGTATAGACAGCAGATTGGGAGGAGAGGCAGACTATTGCAGTATGAACCTGTTGGCATAGTCCAGAAGAATGAGGGAAGCTTGGACCAGGGGGAGGGCCATGGAGAAATTTATGCAGCGTGGAGAAGTTTGGAAGACAAATCATAAGCACTTGGAAAATGGATTAGATATGGGGCATGAAGGGCAGGAGGGAACAAGGATGACTCCTGGGTTTCTGGCTTTAGCAGCTGGACAGATGGTGGTGCTACTGAGATAGGTAACACTGGACAAAGACCAAGTTGGAGAGATGGTGGGTGAAGATTATGAGTGTGAGGTGCCTTTGAAATATCCCTGTGAAAACAAGTGTCAGTTGGATACACTGCATCAGGAACTCAGAAGAAAGATGAGGGCTGGAGATTCACATCTGTGAGACATCTGGATATGAGTGGGAATGGAAGCTATGTGAGTGAGAGTTCTTAGGGAAGACAAGCATATAGGGTAAGGTGAGGAGCAAGCCTAGGAGGGAGCTTTTAAGTTTGTTGGCAGACCAGGGGAAGGTGAGCTTGCAAAGAAGTTCAGAAAGACAGCTGGAGAGGTAGGACAGCGGAAGAGTGTCTTGGTAGTCAGTGGAGGAGTGTCTCATGAGGAGGGCTGTTGATAAGGAGGGAGGGGACAGCAGTACCTAATGCAGCTGAGAAGGCAGGCAGTGATATGGAAGACCCTAATGACCTCAGCCTGAGATGTTTCAGTAAGGGATGGAAGCAGAAGCTATATTGCAGTGGGCTTCTTGGAGAAATGGCTGATTTCAGGCCTGGAGCAGGGAAAGTACAAGATGAGTCTTTGTTGTGCCAGAAATAAATGTTTAAAGAATGATGGGGCATATCAAAAAGACAAAGTAGCCAGTTTGAAGAAGATCCCACTGGCCAAATCTAGGACTATTTTGGGACATAAAAATAAACACATTGTTAATCCCCTTTAAAATTGTTAACCCATTAAAAAATAGGAATCCAAGAGTCTTTAATATAAATCAATCAACCAATAAGTAAATGGGGGGAAGAGGAAATTCTTACAGTAGAATGCTAACTAATAAACGCAGAAGCAATAGATAGTCGAAGTAAAACGTAGAAGTAATAGATAGTCACCATTTGGTAACCAACACAGTGGTAGATAATACAGGTAAACCTACTGCCATCGAGCCAATTCTGGACTCAGCCACTCTACAGGACAGAGTAGAACTGCCCCATAGGGTTTCCAAGGCTGTAGATCTTTACAGAAGCAGAATGCCACAGCTTTCTCCTGCAGAGCAGCTGGTAGGTTTGAACTGCTGACCTTACAGTTAGCAGCCAAGCACTTTAACCACTGTGCCACCAGGGTTCCATAAAACCAATGGCTGCTAAGGCTAGTGGGTACAGGTTTGATGAAGAGCAGCATATTGGCATAGTATTAGAATATCTCCACCACAAAATCCTAATCAAATACAAAGGGAAAAGTAGTGGAGATACTAACTTGACTAGGTGATCAAAGTTAGCATCACCAGTGGTGGGATGGGGTGACATCGTGTGCCTCGTGATGATATTCTAAGAAGGGCACAGCATCACTTCTTTGGTATTCTTTGGTAATCCATAATGAGGTCATATGGGATGGACCCAGGTGGAGGGTCATCCTGCCGTATGAAAGACCTAAGCTCAGTAAGCATGTAAAGGACATGAGAATTCAAGAAAGACCGAGGGACTGCTCCAGACTGAAGAGACTGATGAGGCATGACAACCAAATGCAACACGTGGCACTGGATAGGATCCTGGACCAGAAAGGAAAAAGACATTGTTGGGATGGTTGAAATCATTTGAATGGGATTGGTTGACAGTGTGTTACCAATGTTGATATCCCTACTGGGAGGGTTATACAGTGGCAATATGGGAGTGTCTTTGCTTTTGGGAGGTGCACACTAGAGAATTTACAGGTGATAAGGTTTTATGTCAGAAAAAGACAAATGTTGTAAAATGTTAACAATTGGGGAATTTAGGTAAAAGCGGATGTAGGAGTTCTTCGCATTGTTCTTGAAATTTTCCTGTAGGTTTGAAACTATTCCAACTACAAAAAAAAGGAAAAAAAATGCAAATCTAAAGGCAATTTTTTATTTACAGTATAAAGGTTACAAAGGTATATATGTATTTATATATATAATACCCTTAAGTTACAATTTTTCATTGTAATGTACAATGCTATATGTTGATATGCAACTCAAAGGGAAGTATTGTCTATGCATCTATATTTATAGAGTACACATAAAGCTTTTTTCAATTAAGAACACAAATACCACCTTGTTTTATGCCATGGGTTTTTGATTTGGTAGCCTGGTGACACCAGAAGATTTCAAACTTAAATCTTAAACAAGATTTTAAAAGAAGTCTTACTTAAATACAGGGTTCTAAAAAGGAAAAACAGAATACCACATACTTTTAATTCTTTGTAGAAGTATTATTCTAGCTTTCTAAGCCTTAATACTTAACAAAAATGAAAGTTGTATGGGACAGAATGGATACTAGTGGGTATGATCAGAGTTTGCACAGATTAGCCAAAATAGGCCTTCATAGGTAGTGGTTTGCCTTGTTATTCTCTAAAAGACCTTAGATCCAGTACCAAAAGGGAAATAGATTCTTTGGGCATCAAGGTCTTATAATGCTGAACTTATCCAACAGAGTGTAAACATAACACTGGAGTCCTATACTAGAGAAAAAAAAATCTGAAACTGGTTCTTATGATAAGGGCAGATTTGCTACAAGGTGAGAAGAATATCCTCAAGACTGGTGATTATCCCAAACCTGAAACTTTGTTGAAATCACTTACTTTTCCCAAAATTCTGTAAATTCACAAAACAGAGGTGAAAAAAATGTAACTGATACCCATTCTAACAGGACAGAGAAAAAGGAAAAACACTTCTTCCAACGTAGGAGGAACAGACACTTAAAATACTTATGTGCTGGTAACGATACTATACAATCATTAGCACCTGATTGTCAAAGGTTAGGTTTAAAGCAAGAACCATGAAACTGAAGGCATGACCTAATTTTTCTGCACAATTCCAGGACACTTAAAAACAAAGAGGGAGGAGCTCCATGTGACTGTGTTATATATGCCACACCAATCATAGATAGCTCAGGTAATCATCCCTGGGCATGATGAGGGATGTTGCCTGAAAAAGTAACCCTAGCGATAAATGGATGGTAAGCTGGATAGAAAGAGACTGTTACTGTCTGAAAATTATGAAAAAATTCAATCAACCTTCTATTTTCTTTAGGTGTCTTTTCTACTGAATTTGAATGCCAGAGTATTCTAGAATAAGTGGGATTTTGCTAAGTTTTAAAAGATTTTCACTTTGATCTATCATTAATGGAGAAACATTCTATCTACCACGTGTAAGAACTTTTAGCACATGAGATGTTTAAAGGACATTAGTGTGGAAATGAATGGGTCAATTTCTAAATAGGGGATAGCTGAAATATACACTTAGCTTTGCTGTTTAGTGGAGCATTTTGTAAAAAAAAAAAAAAGACTTTCCCAATGATCCACTTTGGGCAAGAGCTTAATTTTTGTTGTTGTGATTTATCTTACTAACAATACTTTCCTTCCCAAACTAAAGTGCTTGGCATGGATCAAAGTCTCAGCATCCCTTTAAACACTTTCCAGTTTGCCAGGTCCAGATAAACAGAACTGCAGACATACTTTGGTAAAAATACAAAGTGGCTAATTACTTAATCACTGATTGATAAATGAATGGCATGCCACGATTATCAAATAATGGATTATATGCTACTTGAGGGCAAGAACTTTCTTTTGGATCCTTCAGAGTGCCTGGTGCAGAACTGTACATTACTTCTTATTAAATGAAAGAATACATAAATTAATGCCATTAATTAGACTTGCAGTTTTAATATTTCTTCAAGTCCCCAAAGAACCTTTTGTCTATTCAAAATAGATTTCTATCACTTTGGAAGAGGTGATAGATCAATCAGTTTCCAAGCGTATATATATGTGACTTGGATAAGAGGGACTCAAAAACTAAACAAGCATTTATGTCAATGACATGGAGGTAAGATTACTGCAAAACTGAGAAAGGTACTTAGAGGACTCAGAAAATAGAAATCTACTAGGATACCGAATCTTGCAATATAATGAAGTATCGTTTCTCTATTATAGCGTTCTAGTTTTAACCAATTTATTTTGGGGCAATTCAAGGATTAATGTTCATATGGTAGATTTTGTTGCATATAATCAAATGTTCATTGGAGAGCAAGCACTCATCTGCAAAAGGTATATTTACGCACTGCATCAAATATAGATTCACTTTTAAAATTAGAATATGCTTCAGTTCAGTGATCCAAAGTGGGAAAGAAGAGGTGGCAAGCAATTAAGCTCAAGTTTATCAATTTAGAAACAGAAGAAAATACAGTATCTTGTTACAATAGTCTTTCAAGTTAATACATAACAACCATTCTTCCAGTTGGCAGCTTAACTAGTGTCAAAAAGAGACAAGAAAACAGATGTATTCTATGTGCCTATTTATTGTACCTTACCTTAACTTGAAATTCTATCCTTTAATAGAACAGACTTATATCACTGATCTGCCACTTTTTTTTTTTTTAGAGAAAAAATTTTAAATCAGCCACTTAAGCAGTCTGTTACTAGTTTAAAATAAATTTCACTTCAATCATTATGGCATAGGAATTCCTACACTGCTCAAAAATACATAATTCTGTTATACAGCATAACTATTTTAGAACTATCATCAAACATTTACTGTCTATATAGCCAGCACAATGAAAGATTAAAAAAAAAAGCAGTCTGCTGCTGTTCTTTTTTAAAGACTGTATGGGAAAAGTCAAAATAATTCTAGATTACCACACAATTAAAATAAGGGCAGAGAGAAAGTAAAAGAAGACGGCTGATTCCTCTACTTTCATCTTCAGGAGGGGGAAAAAAAAAAAAAAAAGCCACAATAACAATTCAAGTTTAATGGAAAGAGATCTCCAAATTCAAGGTCAAATATAATACCACCTGGCACATAATATCATATCTGATAGACATATAAAAAGAATGACTATGAGTATAGTCAAATTCAACTTAAAGTCTAAGCAGAATCCCCAAATTAAATAAGTCTCTTCTCATTATATAGGCACTGAAATCTTACCAGAGCAATTTGCTTTGGGACTAAGTAGATCTGGCATTTTACTTCTTCATTAAGGATCGAAAAAAGAAGACCTTTGGCTTTCTAACCAGCCACTTCAATTGTAGCCTCAATCACCGATGGCAGCGACATGGAAATGTATGCTGGCTATTTTGGATAGTTTAAATATTATGTACAATCAACAGCTTATAACCAGTGAAAATAATAAGAACATAACTCAGCATAAGTGTCCAAGATAAGATACAAAAAGTAGAGAAAGTGCTTAAGTCTACAGGTCTTCCCTGAAAGCTTTAAAAATATTTAACTCTTCAAGCAGGTAGGGCTTTTAAGAGAATTTGCATAGCAGCTTACAAGGTAATTTGCATTAAAAAATATGGACAGAGATTCTTCCATGTTTTTGAAAATATACAAATATAACCACATGCATATAAATTAAACAAGAAGACCTGGAAGTTCTCGTGGAATTTTAAAAATCCATCATAACCTTTTCTCAAAAGTGGTCACACTTCTTGTCAATCAAACCCATTTACAGTGAAACCTGTTTTTCTGGGAGAAACATAATCTTGTCCAGATTCCACACAGCTTAATTTTTTTAAGAATAAATTTTGGCTTAGCTAAGTGAATTTAATCAGCTGAAAAAAGTTTTGTTATCATTCTGCTTAGGAGGATAAGTTAAGAAAACAATCAGAAACAACTTTAGCCATTTGTTAGAGATTTTTTTCACTTATAAAAATATAAGAAATAAATAAGTCAGTATCTCTCCTACCATGCAGTAACTTTCAGCAACAAAGTTTGCAAAAGTACGGATGACAGAAACAGGCACTATCAGACTTTACCTGGCCTAAGAAGTGCTAAACCATGACTTTCAAATAGGTGAATGACATTGAAAGTATTATTTTTGATTGCCTGTACATGTACCAATGTTTAACCTGAAACTCTGCCTACTAGGTAGGTGAGTTTACAGTTACAACTATCTAATAAATACTGTATAAACATACTTTAAAGTATTTCTTCATATAAAATATTAGATGCTAGTTTCCAGGTAAGGTTCATTTGATGGCTTTTGAGGAAAGACTTACCTTTTTCAGAAAAAGAAAAACTGAACTTTTCCTTTCTAAGTTTCCTTTCCTTTTTTTTTTATGGAAAGATGAAGAGAAGTTTTAGGGAAACAGGAGGAAGAATTTTCACATACCAATCGGCTGCTTATAGGCATCTGTGTGGAATAAGGAGAAGATGTCTAGGCCCCAGATCTCAGCGGGCACAGGAAGTGGTCCATCTGAATGAAGGAATACTACTCGGCAATTTTCTTTCCACTCAACACACGGAAAGCCCACAACATCCTCAAAAATTTTCGTAATTCAAAATGAAAAATAAATTTAAAGTTAGCTAGTTCTATAAAAGAGGTGGTATATAAAAAATGACAATTTTTAGTTTTCATTTGAAAATAATTTGCCATATTTTGGCATCTAAATACAAAATACATACTTATCCAGGCTGTCCCATTCATAAAAAGCACTTCATTTGTGGTTTGAAAATCCCATAAACACAACTTAATTGAAGAACAACCTGGTCATCCATGATTAGAAAGCTATTAAAAGTATGTAAAAACAAGCAGCTTAAGGGCTCTTACTCCTGGGGTTGCTAGTGGACAAAGCAAACACTTCCATATACTTTCACTTCATATCAAGATTCAAAAGATATGAAAGATATTAAAAACCCTATGGCCCTTGGTTAAACATGACAGTTTAAGCTTGAGCAAAATGAGCAGAAATATATACATGCCTTGTTTCTCCTGCCCACATTTTAATCACAGCTTTTTTAATAGATCTTTTTCATGAAACTAGTGAGCAGGGTGGCTCCAGAAGTTCCTCCCACAAATTTTCTCGGTGGCTTAGCCTTTCATAACAACACAGAAAATCTCAACCTAATGGCTCTGCTGCTGATGTCTGTGACTGCATGGTTAAACTTCTCATATTAATGATATTCTCACTGAGAAGAGTGGCTAAACTCCCTTATCTGAAAGTATTATGTGTTGAAATCCTGCTTCAAGAAATCCACAGCTAGACCTTCAAGGCATGTTTTTCTTCCCTGATTTGCAAACTTATCTCAGATGGAACCAAAATTAGGTTTATGAATTCCCAAAATATAAAAAGCTCTTGACAAACATATTCTAGTCTAGATTTTAATTTCTGCAATTTTAAGTGAACCAGATAAATCGTTTTGGTGCCTTCTAAAATTATATGGAGCTGAGAGAATAAGAGATGTCTCTCCCCAACCTCTGTATATTGTTACGCTCACTGTACATGGGGAAGCACAACTGACAGGTGCAAAGGGAAGACACTGGGGTTATTACAACTACATCTGGAATTGGAACTAACTGGAACTCTCTGCTCATGGGTCTGCATTTTCTCATGCTTCACCTAGTGATCAGTCTGCACTCAAATCAAACAGCTCAAGTTTTACATATAGAGTTGTGTGGTTTTTTTTTCTTATTTGAAGTGCTACCCTCTTCCACCCTCCACAGTGTTCATATCCTCTTCTGACACTTGTGATATATCTAGAAAATGAGAACTACTCCTAGACCTTCCTTCAGAGAGCATAAAGACCATCCAAGTCAGATGACCTTTTCTTTCAGGTTCAAGAACTGTGCTAATCTTGAAGTTTTATATAGACATTATACTATTTTAAACATTTTTCGGATATATACCTCCTTCATAATTAGTAAAAAAAAAGTGTGATTCTCTAATAATTCAAAATCAATAATCTTAACTGCTACTATGTCCTAATGATGACATCTAGTAATGCTTAATAAAACCCAGGTAGCTGTTCTATGGTCTCATCACCTTGCGCAGTGTAGGATGTGTTACTGAGCCAACAATGAGTCTTGAATTAGCAGCTGTTTGTCTATGCCATTGTGCTGCCACAAAGGGAGAGGGCCAGGGACAAGAACCCACATGGGTTCACACAGCCCAAAGCAACTCAACATGATGTCTGTGCTGAAGAGCTGGCTTCACCCACAAAGTCTACTCTTTAAACAAGCTGGCTCTTCAGGATTTGTCTTCCTTAAAGGGATTTGCCAACTAGAACAGAAAGTTAAGGAAACCTACCTCAAAGACTTAATTCCTCAAAACTAGGATAGATGATGTCCCTGGAATGGCAGTGATACCCAGTTATTCAAATAGTCACTAATAAAGCTCCACTATCCCTAACCAAAGGCACATTTGGTAAGCAATAAAAAATGGCTTAGGCTAAAATGATAATTTTCTTTTAAAATAAACCTTACAACATTTCCTGGCTCCTACCTAAGATAAAATCAGAAGAGGCTAAAACAAGTAAAACTTGTCTGGCAAAGAAGTGGTTTCCAACCTGCTTTTTAATTTGGTCACCACTAGAAAGGGAGTAGAAGGCAAGGCAAATAAAATTTTGCAAGTTCTAGGTCCTAACATTAGGACTTATGAGTGGCACAGCTTATGATAAGGTGGAAAGTGATGGCCAGAGTGGGATGTAGCAAGAGCCAGGACATGGAAAAACACCCTGGTGATGCACACTCAAGGACGTCACAAGGTGAAAGGAACAAGTGAGGATAGTAAACTCCAATAAAATTATGACCCATCTGGAATGAACAGGAAGCAACTAGCCACTGCAGACTATTACCTGGGAATAGATAGATGTCTTAAACAAGAGATCAAGGCTATGTCCAAAACAAATCCTACAGGAAGAAAAAAAAGAAAACAACTCTTGGATATTTGATTATGTCCAAAAAGAAAAGTAATGAGCCACTCTTCTTAACAGGGGAAATAAACCTAATTACTTATAAACCACATAATGGTACTAAAAACGTAAATCAACAGCTTCCTTTTGGAGCTTATTAGCGGTCCTAGAATGTCTGGTCAAGGTAGCTTGTGGAAGGTAGGCTCTTCTTTAAACATGGTTGTGGTTCAGCAGCGATTTGCAGGTCCTTGTCAAGGCACTGTGCTGGAGGAGAGAGCAAAGAGCTTTCATTTTTGTGCTTTTTTTTTTTTTCTTGAGGTGGAAATACTTCTTGAGACATTCAAGGCTCTTTTCTGATTCTGTGCTGCTCACACAAGCAGTCCCATGCGAGTGACTTTGGCTGATAAGAAAGTGTGCAACACAAATACAATCGGCTTCGGACAAGAGTGTAGGTCCATGGTCTGCAGAGAAAGGACATTAGTTATCACTACCATATACAGACGCTTTAATAAACAAACCTATTTGGATGTGGTGTTCTACTTTTTAAAAAAAGCTTGGATAAAGAATGTGCCAAAGCTATGGAAACTCTTGGGAACTTAAAGCCACAAACAAAAGTATACTCTGAAGTAAGGTTATTCCATGTCATAAGTAAACACTGATGTGAGGTTTCACATCTACAGTTATGATACAATTGGTCATATACTGGGTTCAGCATGCCTGGCTGGAAGAACTAAAAAGCAGAGGATTTAAAATAAATAGGAATATCCTGGATGGAGACAATTAGCTGTAATTATATTTCTCAGACAGAACCACAGGAACTTAGCTGAAGTGTGACCATCTATGGGTGTGATTTTTGATACCCCTTATAGGTTTGTGGTGGGAATAATAGCTCTCGAGGCTAGTTATACCCTCCTAAGCACAGGACTCCAATCTGGACAGCTGCTACCAGATGAACAAGGAATCTGGATGCATGAGTCAACTGATTAGCCAGCCTTTGGTACTGATAACAGAAACCAGGACTAGGGCACAGTTAACTGTGCTTTTAAGATACAACTTTATTAGAAGCACAAATTATAGAGCATTAATTTCATCACTCCAGTTTTTATATATTAAATATAAACCAAGGGTTAAAAATATATAAATAGGTATAATCAAACACCTTGCTTGCTAAATAGCAGCTGCTATTAATAACTGGTTAATTTAATAGAAATGAATTTAATAGAGAAGCATTTAACTCTCACTATTGCTTCTAGCTTTGAAAAGCCCTGGTCCATGGCCTGTCCATTGTCTCCTAAAGAAAGGTTCATTTAAAATAACGCTTCTAGCCACACTTTTTTCATTTAGGTTGAACTATTCTATCTCTAAGGTCTTTCCCAGTTTTAAAATTTCAAGATTCTGTGTTTCCAAATTTACATCTACTGTGACTGTGTTGGTGGACATAAGATTTTACATATAAGACTTGAACTACTGACTTACTATTGATAAGGGAGAAAAGGCATTAGTTTACATGTAATTTATTATTTCTGAAGTATGCTTGATTCATCTATCTAGTCTCTCTAAGGGAATCATAACTTTCTGTTGATATTTTCTCTCAAGGACAAGGAGACCAAAAAAGATCTCTATCTTTTTTTCTGATCAGCAGATTTCTGTAACAATGAAGTCACTCTATTACTCTTAATAACAAACTGATGATAATAGTAATGGATGGAATTTAATTAATAAATTCTACTAGTTTTAGTATTTTGTATCTTATTTTTGATAAAAATATGTTTTTTAAAGGGGCTACTTTTTATTTCTAACATTCAAACAAAACTGCGTTTTAAAAGTGAATGGTTTCAGAACATAGGGAAAGGAGAAAAAAACAAAAACAAAAAAACACAAAACCAAATGCAACACCATCTTGAAAACTAAAGAACAATTTCCTGGTTCCAAATGAAATGTCAGTCCATAATTTTCTATACAAGAGGTAAGAAATGATGAGAAGGAATGACAATACATATAGAATAAAAATTTTTTCAGAAATACTCTTACCAGTTCTCCCTCAGGACCACCAAAATCCAAATACAGATTTCTGATGCCATCATCAGCAGACATTTTCAGCCTTTCAAAAGGGTAGCGGTACAGTATGCTGCTGGAGCCTCCATTTTCCCTGGAGATAGTGAACCCATTTTCATAGTGGACAGTGAGTCTTACCTCTTGGCTATTTAATGTGCAGCCTGTTGGAAATAAGCAAAAAACATCATTAGGAAAGTTTCTACTTCAGTATCAAGTGAAAAAGGATTCTTCTAACTGTAACAGAGGAAAAGAATCTTTGTTGGAGAATCTGTGATGCCTAGCCTATGTAAACCAGTTGCTGTAGAGTTGATTCTGGCTCATGGCAACCCCATGTGTGTAAAAGCAGATATGTTGCCTGCTATATATCTTATTCGTGTTGTGTGTCTCATTTTTTTTCCCTAAATTTTATTTATTTTGTTGTGGTTGTTGAGAACATACACAGCAAAACATACATCAATTCAACAGTTTCTACATGTACAATTTATAGTGACACTGATTACAGATAAGTACATTTCAAAGCAAGATTACAGTCTCTGAAGTAGATACTATTCTGTTTTCCCATAAAATGACCCTTGGTGTCACACTCAGACAGGACACTTGGCTGGATGGACCACACCCCTAATTTCTCATGGGCTCTTTTATGTCCCTTTAGCTATGCATATCAAAAAAGATAAATTTTTTTATTACAAAATGATATTAGCAATAGCTTCAGGTAAAAAAATACGCTTCTCTAAGGAAAAATGGAAGGGTACCTGCCTTTCAAACTTTTCAGCCAAAGAACTTGTAACAGCAGAAGCCAGTGAACACCTGTCCTGGGGGATCGAAAGGGGTAGAGCTAGTACAGACCCATAGTAAGCACAAACTTGAGTTTTATCTTTAAAATTCATGCTGGTTTTACAGTTTACTCTAGAATTGCTTGACTTATAAAGAAATGCTACATGAAAAAATGATTCCAGAAGAAATAAAACTGACTTTGTTTACATTCTTAGAATTGTGTAACCATTCTCACTCTCCTTTCTTGAGTTGTTCCTCCCTCATTACCATAAACTCATTGCCCACTAACGTTCCTATCTAATCTTTGGAGTTGTCAATAGCCAGCCTCGTTTTTATAGATTTAGGATTTGAGGTTCAGAGAAGTTAGGATGCCCAAAGCCACGTAACTAATATGTGGGGTTCAAGTCTGTGTCTCCTGACTCCAAAGCTCATGCTCTTTCCACATTATTCCAGGCTGTCTCCTGAAGGACCTGTTCAGTACTTAAGTACTCAGTTAAGTGCTCTTAATGATCCTGAGGCTCCTATGTAGAAGGGAACATTGGTTTTTTCAGACCATGGGGTATTGTTGAGTCTAATGACATATATTAAAGATAACTTTCTAGTAAGCTCCCTATGAGTAAAAACATTTAACAAAGCTAGGAGGAAACAAAGGTTCATTAACTAATAATACATCAATCATTGTTATAGAAAGGTCAGCAGTGGTAAATACAATCTGTTACCTACTTTGTCTCTTTTTAAATAAGAGACTGATGGTGGTTACCAATATACCATGGAGAAGCATTTGGGGACAAAGATCCTAATGAAAAAGAAATTTTATGCTGTAAATCTTGTCCCTGCTGCTCTGGGGCTAGCCAGTCTCTTGGTAGGAGAGCTCTAGAGGGCTCCACTTGCTTCCAGCAAGATCCTGGCCTGTCCCTCAAGCAGCTCCAGCACTGTGTGTGTCACCCAGGGCTCTTCCAGGTCTCGAGCCTTTCAGAACAACCTAGAACAGAGCAGACTCCACAGGTTTGACCTGGCCTGTACTGCCCAGGACTGTCCTGGAGAAAGGCTGAGGCAGCATTCCTAGTGACTGCCCATAGGAAAAGCCAGTCAATCAAGTGTAATCGACTCACGCCCAGGGTTACAGAACATGACACTGTGTTGTTCCTCTATTATAGTTACTTGGTGAAAGGCAGGAAGTAGGTCTTCTTTATCTTAATTTCTCTCATTACAAAGCACAGCAGGTTGTAGAAAATAAACACTCAGTAAATATTTGTTGATTTAATGAAGTAACAGAGACTGATGTATACTGTATATATCCTCCAGGAGTTTAACCTAGTCATAAGAATAAGTCATCTAAGAGGGAGAAATGCAGAAGCTTAATTAAGGCACTGTCTTTAAGTTAGAAACACCTAAATTCAAGTACCAGCCACACTATCTCCAGTTTCTTCATCTTGAAAATGGAGATGATAACGCCTGCCTTAGAGGGTTACTTGTGAAGGTTAGATGATATACGTATCTTATTTACGTCTCGTAAGAAACCTAACTTTCTGTTGATCTGTACCTAGTATTGTTTCTGCCTCTGTCTTTTCCTACCTTGAGGACAGGGGCTAGCCTACCTTATTTATCCCTTTCATGGATGAATTACTTTATGTTTGGAATTTTTTGGTGATGTCATGTTTTTTCACTAATGGAACGCATGCTGAATCATTGGCTGTTGGTAACTTTTTGTTATGTATGATGGATTTTTATAAATATTATTTGAGACACTGTATGTCCCAGTGGACTCCTCAGAATCTTCCCCACTTTCTGGCACTTATTGGCACCACTGAGCAGGAAGTACATCATGAAGGTGCTTACACTGCTTTGAGCCATAAAATATCCTACTCACTTGAATATCACTGAATCCTGGAAACCGCACCTTCCCAACAACACACAAAATAGTAAATAAATTTTCCAGCCTTATCTCGTTGTTTGGAAGGCTGAAAGGCGAAAAATGCAAATGGCTCGATTACAGTGTTTTGACTCTGAAAATAACTCATTTACTTGAATATTTCCAAATGCTGGTAAGTACCTTCCCAATAACACAAAGGAAATAGTAAATACACTCACAAACCTTCTTTCGCTGTACAGAAGCTGAAAGACATGAAAGCTTCACAAAAGCACTCCTCTAGGATGCACCTACTCACACAAATGCCTCCCAACACTCAAATGTGGCACTGAACAATTTCCTTGTTTTTTTAAGCAGTTATGCAAGTTTCCACCCCAATGCCAGCACGTGCTAAAGTGGTTCTAATGCCTTCCAATAAACCTTCAGAGGCAGAAAAACTACTTGGTCCCTAGAGACCCGTGAACATGAAAGGGTTATTTTAGTATCGCCAGTAAAAGTACAGAGTATATACCGATAAATATTTGCCAAGCAGGTGAATGAAAAGGGATGTAAGAGAATTGCTAAGAATTGTGAACAACATGGTCAGAGCAAACTGCATGTTTATTAATGCAATTCCTACAGCAATGTCTACTACTTCTTAGTCTTTACATCACCAAAGCTACAGAAATATAAAGTATCTTCATAAAATTCTTTACGATCTGAAAAACTTTAAAAGCTTGGGATATTGGTATGATGAAAATAAGCCTTAAAAACATACTCATTAAAGTTCAAGCAACTACACACATATACATATTTTCAAAATCTGTGACAAATGGAAAATGGCTTTATGTACCTGAGGAAGTTAACTGCATTCTTTGTCTATTCATTTTGAAGCTCGTATTTGCTAGAAGGAAAAAGTCCTTGTGTAACAGAAGGATCACTGATCAATTCTACCTTACCTATAACCTAATAAAGGTTTAAAATAAATGAACATTATAAAGATCATATATTGCATTCACTAGCCAAATCTTCTAAGTTTTCATTGGAATTTTTCTAACTGGGAAAAGTATAACCAAACCATGTAAGAGATAGGGGAAGTCAGCACAACTTGATCAAAGCAAAGGCATAGAAGTTTCCTAGACCCATCCTAATGCCTTGAGGGGCTGAGTTGCTGGGGCTGGGGACCATAGTCTCAGGGGACATCTAGGTCAATCTGGTGAGTAGTGTTTGGGGTCGTAAAAGCTTGCGAGTGGCCATCTAAGATACGTCTACTGATCCCAACCCATCCAGAGCAAAAGAGAATGAAGAAAACCAAAGAAACATGGAAAATATTAGCCCAAAGGACTAAAAGCTACATGAACCAGAGCCTCTACTGGCCTGAGCCCAGAAGAACTAGATGGTGCCCAGCTACCACTACCACCTGCTCTGACAGGGATCACAACAGAAAGTCCCGGGCAGAGCAGGAGAAAAATGTAGAACAAAATTCAAATTCATCGAAAAAGGTCAGATTTACTGGTCTGATAGAGACTGGAGGAACCCCTGAGACTATGGCCCCTGGACACTGCTAACTCAGAACCAAAACCACTCCTGAAGCCCACTTTTCAGACAAAGATTAGACAGGCCTATAAAACAAACAATAACACACGTCAGGAATGTTCTTCTTAGTTCAATCAAATATACAAGACCAAATGGGCAACACCTGCCCAAAAGCAAGACACGAAGGCAGGAAGGGACAGGGACTGAATGAATGGACACAGGGAACCCAGGGTGGAAAGGGGGAGAGTGCTGTCGCATTGCGGGGATTGCAACCAATGTCACAAAACAGTATGTGTATAAATTTTTGAATGAGAAACTAACTTGAGCTTAAACTTTCACCTAAATCACAATAAAATTTTAAAAATAATTTAACTATGTAATTAAAAATTAAAAAAAAAAACAGAAGAAACAGCTTAATTTATTTCTTTTTGTCAACTTTTGAACTTTCTTTAGGCCATGGACACCCAAATATGTGGTATGATGTGTCACAACTATAGTTTTAAATAAACCCTTTCGAATCTCCCAACAATTTAACAGAAGGTGGTAACATGCACTGAAATACATGCTGGCTGGTTATGGATGTACGTGTATATACATATAACACACACACATTTTAAGGGAATTCTGGCTAGCATCAAAGAGGTTTAACTTCAGCCAGTTTAACATATCTGGTACAGTTATAAATACATAGTAAGTGATTAATAAGTAAACTAGTTGACTTGAATTGTGGAAATGAACATATTACTAAGGCTATGTTAAAATACAGCTGTGAATGAAAACAAAAAAACTTAAAAATTACCAAAAATATGTTTATCTGTTTAAAAATACAAAGAACTAGCTAGTCCTTATTCTCTCTCCTCAAACCATCCATGTTTAAACGACTGTAAGCCTGGGACTGGGCAGAGCTAGCTTTTTTATTTCCTACCACACGAAGTTCAGCTACTAGACACCAAAGGATCAAAACAAAACTAAAAAATGCTAAGAATCCAAGTTCCACTCTATTTTAGGAAGCGTACCCCTCTGCATCCTTGCAGAAGAAGGCATGGTGACCCCAGATACCGGTGAAGAGCTTGGTGAACATGCCGGCCTGACCCCTCTGCTGTCCACAGGAACACAAAGTATCACAGACTTCACCCTCAGGATCTGCCTATCCCAGAAAGCACAGTCCACGGCCAAGACAAAAAACAGAGCCCAGAGCCCTTAATGTGGTGACCGACGACTCCACAGAGAAAATGGGGGACAGACACAGACAACAGGTGAGAAAGGCAGAGTGGTTAAAATCCAAAAGTGGGGTCTTACTAGTCACTGGCATCATTGCTTGACTCATCATTGTGGTTGTGAGGAAAACACCAGGCAGATCCTAAATAGCTGAATAATTGTGTCATTCTGACAACATTAAAAAACAAAAAACCACTTTCCTGTGCCTGTGTTAGAAGATGACCCATGGCAATGCTGCTCATGCAGTTCTAAAGCTAAGGTGTTCCCTCACTTTCCAAAAGAAACTGAAAGAAAGATAATTCACAATACTTGCTACTCTTGAAACATTTTCTCTTTTACGTAAGTTTTGTAAAAGGAGGTCTATAAAATAAAATACATAGAAAATGGGAGCAAAACTAAGTAAACCAATTTGTAACCAAAATAGCCAATGCAATTCAAACCATGTTAGAAACTATAATTGTATCTTCATTTTGAATATTCTTCATTCGTGTTAAGATAAAAAGGAATCTGGAAATATCTACCATATATGTACATATGTTGTTGTTGTTGTGTGCTGTCAAGTCCATTCCAACTCATAGTGACCCCATATGACAGAGTAGAATTGCCCCATAGGGTTTCCTACCCTGTAATCTTTACAGGAGTAAATTGCCAGGTCTTTTCTCCCATGGAGTAGCTGGTGGGTTGAAACCATCAACCTTTTGGTTAGCAGCCAAGTGATTAACCATTGTGCCACCAGGGCTCCTTACCGTACATATACCAAAAAAACCAAACCAAGCCCGTTGTACATATACACACACACAAATACATGCATCTGAAACTTACCCCTAAAGCCTACTAAAAACATCTCATTCATATAGACGAGCCACAAGAGGGCACTTCAACAATGGAAAGAGGCCACCAGGTTTATTTCCTTCAGATGCTTATTTGAGTATACATTGGGCACAAATTGTCAAACTTTTGAAGAGAAACTCTTATTCCAAGTCGTTTATTTTTCTACAGCCATGAATTTGACAGATGCTCATATTTTAAGGGTGTCTATGGAGCCCTGGTGGTGCATTGGTTAAGAGCTTGGCTGCTAACCGAAAGGTCTGCAGTTCAAATCCACCAGTTGCTCCTTGGAAAACCTATGGTGCAGTTCTACTCTGTCCTATAGGGTCGCTATGATTTGGAATCGACTCAACAGCAACAGGTGTGGTTTGGGTGTTTAAATTCAAATTTTAGATTCCAAATCTTCTTAACTAGAGGGTCAATGCATCTAGTGTTTCGTAAATGAGTCCTTACACTATTCAATGCAGATTAAAATGATGAACAAGAAATGCAATGTTTTACATAGAGTGTTATGAATATGCTTAGAACCATGTACAAGGCTTAGGAAAACTTTGCTAGTGAAACAGAAAAACCAGGTTTGTTTCCATCATCACCACTTTAAATTGCCATACTTCAGCACACACAACAGTTCTATTTAATTAATATTAGAAATGAAATGTCATCATCTATACCTAGGGAGACTTCCTTGATCAGCTCAGCAGCAGCATGACAACCCTGAACAAGTATCCTGGTCCAGGTTGACAGATCCCGATGTGTCTCCACCCTGAACAGATGCATCTCAATGCCTTGCCGAGAGCCCGTCCTGGTAGCAAATGTAAGGTCAGATCCAAGTGGGGGTGATCGACATCCAGAGCCAGAATGAACCAACCTAGGACCACAAACAGAGCAGAGATCAAAAGTATTTAATGATTCATCAGAGGAAAATGTTAGGAATTTATGCTGATTGATAATTAGAATATTATAAAAACCACCAGCAGTTTTTGGTTAAGTACATTTCAAAGAAAGATTATAGTCTCTGAAGTAGATACTATACTGTTTTCCCATAAAATGACCCCGGATGGCACAGTCAGACAGAACACTAGGCTGGATGGACCACAGCCCCAATTTTCCATGGGCTCTTCTATGTTCCTTTGGCTACGCATATCAAAAAAGATAAATTTTTGATTAGAAAATGCTATTAGTAATAGTTTCTGGTAAAAAAATATGCTTCTCTAAGGAAAAATGGATGGGTATCTGCTTTTCAAACTTTTCAGCCAAAGAACTGTAACAGCAGAAGCCAGTGAACACCTGTCCTGGGGGATGGAAAGGGGTGGAGCTAGTACAGACCCATAGTAAGCACAAACTTGAGTCTTATCTTTAAAATTCATGCTGGCTTTGCAGTTTACTCTAGAATTTCTTGACCTATAAAGAAATGTTACATGAAAAATTATTCCGAAAGAACTAAAACTGCCTTTATTCACAGATGACAGGATATTCTATATGGAACATCCCAAAGAATTGACAAAAAAATTCCTGGAACTAGTAAGTGATTACAGCAAGGCAACAGGATATAAGGTTAATATACAAAGTCAAAGTCAACTGCTTTCCTATATACCAGCAATGAACAACTGGAACTTGAATTTAAAAATATAATACCACTTACATTAGCACACACATACACAAAAAACCCTGAGAAAAACTTAAGCATAAATGTAACAAAATATGTACAGGATCTATATAAGGAAAAACACATAACTCTGATCAAAGAAATCAAAGAAGATCTAAATAAATTGAGAGATATTCAATGTCCACGAGTAGGAAGACTCAGTATTGTTAAGATGTCAATTCTCCCCAACTTGATCTAAAGATTCAATGCAATCCCAGTCATAATCCTGGCAAGTTATTTTATAGATATAGACAAACTGATTATGAAGTTTATATGGAAAGGCAAAAGACCCAGAATACTCAACACAATACTGAAGAACAATATTGGAAGACTGAAACTACCTGACTTTAAGACTTACTACAAAACCTACAGTAATCAAGACAGTGTGGTATGGGTCAAAGAATAGACAAATTGGTCAATGAAACAGAATAGAGAGTCCAGAAACAAAAATACAGTCAACCGATCTGTAACAAAGGAGCAAAGGCAATTCAATGGAGAATGGGCAGTTTTTTCAACAAATGGTGCTGGAACAATTGGACATCCTTTTGCAAAAAAAAAAAAAGAATCTAGACACAGAACTTACACAGTTTACAAAAAGAAGACATAAATGTAAAATGCAAAACTGTAAAACTTCTAGAAGATAACACAGGAAAAAATCTAGGTGACCTGGGGTTTGGGTAAGTTTTCAGATACAACAACAAAAGTACAAACCATGAGACAAAAAATTGACAAGCTCAACTTTATTAAAATTCAAAACTTCTGCTCTGTGAAAGACAGTGTTAAGACAATGAAAAGACAAGCCATAGACTGGGAGAAAATATTTGCAAAATACATATCTGATAAAGGACTTGTATTCAAAATATACCAAGAACTCTTAAAACTCAACACTAAGAAAACAAACAACCCAATTACAAAATGGGCAAAAGATCTGAACAGACACCTCAATCAAAGAAGACATAAGTGGCAAATAAGCATATGAAAAAACGCTGAATATCATTTGTCATTGTTGTTAGGTGCTGTCGAGTCAGTTCCGACTCACAGCGACCCTGTGTACAACAGAACGAAACACTGCCCAGTCCTGCACCATCCCCACAATGGTTGTTATGCTTGAGCCCATTGTTGTAGCCACTGTGGCAATCCATCTCGTTGAGGGTCTTCCTCCTTTTTGCTGACCTTTTACTTTGTCAAGCATGATGCCCTTCTCCAGGGACTGGTACCTCCTGATAACATTGTCCAAAGCACATGAGACAGTCTCGCCATCCTTGCTTCTAAGGAGCATTCTGGATGTAGTTCTTCCAAGATAGATTTGTTTAGTCTTCTGGCAGTGCCTGGTTCATTCAATATTCTTTGTCAATATCGTTAATTCAAAGGCGTCAATCCTTCTTTGGTTATACTTATTCACTGTCTAGCTTTCATATACATATGAGGTGACTGAAGATACCATGGCTTAGGTCAGGAGCACCTTAGTCCTCAAAGTGACACTTTGGCTTTTCAACACTTTAAAGGGGTCTTTTACAGCAGATTTGCCCAATGCAATATGTGGTTTGATTTCCTGTTCCATAGGTGTTGATTGTGGATCCAAGCAAAATGAAATCTTTTTTTTTGTTTTTGTTGTAGTTTAAATGAAAGTTTACATTTCAAGTTAGTCTCTTATACAAAAATTTATACATACATTGTTATGTGACCTTAATTGCTCTCCCTATACTGTGACAGCACACTCCTCCTTTCCACCCCTGATTTCCCATGTCCATTCAACCAGCTCCTAACCCTCTCTGCCTTCTCATCTCACCTCTGGACAGAAGCTGCCCATTCAATCTTATGTATCTACTTGAGCTAAGAAGCACACTCTTTACGAGTATCATTTTATGTCCCACAGTCCAGTCCAATCCAATCTTTGTCTGAAGAGTTGGCCACGGAAACTGTTTTAGTTCTGGGCTGATAGAGAATCCGGGGGTCATGCTTTCCAGGGCTCCACCAGTCTCAGTCAGACCATTAAGTCTGGTCTTTTTACTAGAATTTTTTTTTTTTTTAATTGTACTTTAGATGAAGGTTTACAGAACAAATAGTTTCTCATTAAATGGTCAGCACACATATTGTTTTATGACATTGGTTAACAACCCCACAACTTGTCAACACTCTCCATTCTTGACCTTGGAGGACCTTTTTTTGGTGAAAATATACATAGCCAAAGTTATACCATTTCAAAAATTTCTATATGTACAATTCAGTGACGTTGATCACAATTGTGCGGCTATTCTCACTATCCTTTTCCAAATTATTCTATCACCTTTACTAGAATTTGAGCTCTGCACCCCATCTTTCTCTTGCTCCATCAGGGACTTTCTGTTGTGTTCCCTGTCAGAGCAGTCTAAAATGAAATCTTTGACAACTTCAATCTTTTGTTTATCATGATGTTGCTTATTGGGCCATTTGTGAGGATTTTTGTTTTCTTTATGTTGAGGTGTAATCCACACTGAAGCCTGTAGTCTTTGATCTTCATCACTAAGAGCTTCCAGTCCACTTTACTTTCAGCAAGCAAGGTTGTATCATCTGCGTATCACAAGTTGTTAATGTGTCGTCCTCCAATCCTGATGCCTCGGTTCTTCATACAGTCCAGCGTCTTGGATTATTTGTTCAGCATACAGACTGAAGAAGTATGGAGAAAAGATATAACCCTGACACACACTTTTCTGACTTTAAACCACACAGTATTCCCTTGTTCTGTTCAAATGACTGACTCTTGGTCTATGTACAAGTTCTGCAGGAGCATAATTAAGTGTTCTGGAATTCTCATTCTTCACAGTGTTATCCATAATTTGTTACGATCCACACAATCGAATGCCTTTGCATAGTCAATAAAACACAGGCAAACATCTTTCTGATATTCTCTGCTTCCAGCCAAAATTCATCAGACATCAGCAATGATACCGCTTGTTCCACATCCTCTTCTGAATCCGGCCTGAATTTCTGGCCATTCCCTGCTGATGTACTGATGAAACCGCTCGTGAATAATCTTCAGCAAAATTTTAGTTGTGTGTCGTATTAATGAAACTGATCGATAATTTCCACATTCTGTGGGATCTCTTTTCTTTGCAATGGGCACAAATATGGATCTCTTTCAGTCAGTTGGCCAGGAAGCTGTCTTCCAAATTTCATATTTTTTTTTTTAATTGTAATTTAGATGAACGTTTACACAGCAAATCAGTTTCTCATTATAATATAGTTTTGTAACATTGATTGCCAACCCCACAACATGTCAACACTCTCCCCTTCTTGACCTTGGGTTCCCCATTATCAGCTTTCCTGTCCCCTTCTGCCTTCTTGTCCTTGCCCCTGGGCTGTTATGTCTTCCAAATTTCTTGACGCAGACAAGTGAGCACCTCCAGTGCTGTATCCATTTGCTGAAAAACATCTTAATTGGTATTCCATCAATTCCCAGAGCCTTGTTTTTCGCCATTCTCTTCAGTGCAGCTTGAACTTCCTCTTTCAGTACCACTGGTTCTTGATCATATGCAACCTTCTGAAATGGCTGAACGTCAACCAATTCTTTTTGGTACAGTGACTGTGTATTCCTTCCATCTTCTTTTGATGCTTCTTGTGTTGTTCAATATTTTCTCCATAGAATCCTTCAATATTGCAACTTGAGGCTTCAATTTTTTCTACAGTTCTTTCAGATTCAGAAATGCCAAGCATGTTCTTCCCCTTTGGTTTTCTAACTCCAGGTCTTTGCACATTTCATTATAATACTTTACTTTGTCATCTCAAGCCACCCTTTGAAATTTTCTGTTCAGTTCTTTTACTTCATTTCTTCTTTTTGCTTTAGCTACTTGACATTCAAGAGCAAGTATCAGAGTCTCTTCTGACAACCATGTTGGTCTTTTCTTTCTTTCCTGTCTTTTTAAGGACGTTTTGCTTCCTTCATGTATGATGTCCTTGATGTAATTCCATAATTCGTCTGGTCTTCAGGCATTAGTGTTCAATGAGTCAAATCTATTCTTGAGATGGTCTCTAAAATCTGGTGGGATATACTCAAGGTCGTATTTTGGCTCTTGTGGACTTGTTCCAATTTTCTTCAGCTTCAACTTGAACTTGCATATAAGCAATTGATGGTCTGTTCTGTAGTCAGCCCCTTGCCTTGTTCTGACTGATGAGCTTCTCCATTGTCTCTTTCTACAGATGTTGTCAATTTGATTCCTGTATTTTCCATCCAGTGAGGTCTACAC